TGCTAATATAGTCAGATTATTCGTTCATTGGTGTTAATTGTAAGTATTGTTGTCCGTCCTCTAGGGCACAGCGGAGTACTTCTCCTCTCGCGACTCCTCTCATTACGTCGCTACTCTCATTATTGCTCTCAGATAACTCTTATGCACCTCTCTGCTTAATAGTTAGGATAATTAGACTTGTTAAGATCTTTTGTTTATTGAACCTTGAAATAACAATCTCACAATATACATAAAATGTTTTATTGTCGAGAAGTAAACCATCAGAGAGAGTACCAGCACTAGCTTATAGCGCCTCTACTATTAGTTGTATTGATAGGTCAGCAAACTACGTCGAGTTGAAATTGAAATTCAACCGTACAGCTCGCGTCACCCGAACATCTGATGAATTCAAGTCACGGCTGCATGTGGAATTGAATGCCTGAAGGAGGCTCCGGCCAGTGATTCTGCTCTGAAGGAAATCTCCCGAGCTTCTGCTGGGGAGCTGCGTACCCTCAACGAATCGCAGCCAGACGAGGTCTTCAGACGACCGCTGGTGGTGAGGTTCCGTGGGTGCCGATCGCACACAAAACATGGAAGCGGAACGCCGGGCGTCAGAGAAGAGGCCGCGGTATATGAAGTCAAAAAATATGAGGCGCATATTAAAGTCATCTTATAAGGTGTCCTAACTAGTTTTTGTCCAATTATTGGACGAACATATTTACCTGTTCGTTCAGTATAATTCTGTGAACTTTACCCTTAATTGTAATAAAATAAGGTTGACTTGCTATGCTTCCTCAGCTGGTCTATCCCTTTCACAGGAGGTCGATTTAATCTTTTGCAAAAAGTCATTTATCATCAGGCAATAAACCTCCATAAACCACCGAGAAAGTCAAACACCGAGTTAACCACAATATTAAAGCAATACCAATTAAAGAGCTCATTAATACAGTTAGAGACGAAATTATCCGTACCATATACGTATACCATATACCTTTCGTACCATTACCATTTACCTTTCTTTTCAATGTTTTCTTGAATAACTCGAAAATTAAAGAATGTATGAGCCAATTGAACTAAGCAGTATATAACAGGAAAATAACACTACATTTTCAAATCAAACTGTATAATTTCAAAATATTTTAACATGCAAAGATTCCCCCAACACTCTATGACACAATTATTCCTGCATTTGCAAAATACTAACGCATAGTTGCAATATTAACGATCAATGTCATATCCTTTCATCATGATAACTTCCACCTTTGTTTTATTAAGCCAAGCTTGTGGTCGTAACTGTCGACGTATGTTTCGAATCATTAACTTGCTGAAAGATCCGTTGTCGACTGAGACCCAAATTCAGAGCAGATGTTTGCAGGTATATTCCTTCAAAATTTATATTTAAACATCTGAGTTCATTATTCCTTAAATTAGAACTAACTTCACGGTGCCAATTGAGGAGAAAAAAAAACATCATATTGACCCATCATTATATGCTTGACTGTTGGATTAATTGTGCTTGGAAGGAAAGCCACCCTTTTCTTGGGCCAAATCTTTTTCGTATTATGTCCATATAGCTTTATTTTTGTTTCGTACACAAGTTTCCAACTGTACGAATAATTGTGTCTGAAGGTGTTGGGGAAATTTTACATGTTAAAACTTTTTGAAATTGCATTTTGTTCTGAAAATGTAGTGTTGTTTTCCATATTACAAACTGTTCAGTTCAATCAAATCTTTGGTTCGTAGATTCAATTATTTTCGAGTTTTTCAAGAAAGCATTGATAAGGAAGAGGTGTACACAGTATTTTGTCGCTAATAATAACCCTACATTAATGGCCGGTCAAATTGCGGTGCAAAATATGTTTGACGCCCACAACAGCTAAATATTGGCGAAACTGGAACACAGCTACATAGAGAAAATTAGTGAAAAATTTTATCAACTATAATTGGATCCGACAAAATTACAATGTTAAATATGAGAAGTAATATATATATATATATATATTATACCTAAAATACCTCGTAAATCTAAACCATACACATGTACGCCATGTCTATGTTTAAGGAATTTACCTGTACGTCATGTCTATGTAAGTTTATAACCTTGTCTACGAACTACACGCAAGACATAACCCTATCGGAGTCTGCCTATACTTCTGCATGAGCAAGAGTCTCGCGTTAACTCGTATAATGTATCGTGTAATCTTGAAATGGTGCTCGTAAAAGCGTCAATTATAGCTCTTCACATAAAAAGTTCATGAAAACAACTTTCAATCAATACAGAACTTCGTCTCAATACTATCGATAATAATTATTCTAGTTATTGATAGACGAACCGTCTTGAATACCGTAAAATGACATTAATAATGGTAAAATAATAGGAATTAATATTGCACCCGATCGAGGAGGTGTCGTATAGTAGTTCATTGGTTGCTGCTCTTCTCATTTTTCGATAAACATCTCCATGCTGACACTTATAATTATATGGTGTCAGCTGGAGATGTTTATCCAAAAACGAGAAGAGCAGTAACCTCGAGGTTTTAGCTTTAACGTTGTACTAGAAATTAAAATAAGAACCTAAAATGTGCTCAACTTGGTATGTTTGAAGATTTATTTTCTTCAATTGTATTAATAGAGAAACCTTAAAGTCTACGCCAATCGTACATTTAACAGGAGACCGACTTTCTGGTGCCTATTTAAATTCAGATATTTTTGGTAAATAAATAAGCAATAACTAGAGAATAGAGCGTTCATCTGCTACATTTTAGTTGTTCGGGGGAAGACAACAAAGTGGGAGCACGTATAGATAGCGGAGCCTGCAAAAAAATGAAAGTGAGTGAGAAAGTAAAAACTAAAAATATGGTCTAGAGCGGACAAAAAAAAATGTGTTGATGCCATGGTGCACCTTCCACTTTCAATCCACGTTTAGTTAATGACCACGAAATTGGTGGCGGTGATGTATTTGATATACATAAGACGAGAAGACTCGGAGAGAGGTTTAAGAGCATAACTATAGAGTTAGGTTACCGACGACTGGAAGACTGGCAGTGATATGAGCATAACTAGCTATATGCAGTGCGGTGATGGATTATGACATGGAATTGAGCTGAAGTCTTTACGACAAGTGAAATTTCGCATCATTATTTTACGCGAAGTGAGATGAAGATAACGAGTGGATGACAGAAAATGAATGGAAACACAGTTAATGATTTTGCTTGGATGTATGCATACATCTAAGCAAAATCCTTTCATCTAAGCATTAATCATACATCTTTGCATTAATCTTGCATTATAAACAATAATCACTAATTGATGTATAGTTATACCGATCATGCGAGGTATTAAGGTGATATGGTTATGACTGGAAGTGAGGTGACATCGTGACATGGATAGGAGTCGCAGATTATGACTGGAAATAAGCTGAGATCGCAATCCGAATGCAGTGAAATCATGGAACAATACTGAAAATGACGCGAAAGATCGTGTTTGTATGTAAACTGAGATCAAGCATTTAAGGAAAATGTCATGAGTCTAGAAATGAGCGTATATATATTCACTTGTTGCCGAGTGATCAATCATGTTGAGAGCGAAGGGACGGATCAAAGATGGAAGAAAAATAACAGATTAAACTTGATATATAATTAAATAATGGTTTAAATAGGCATGCTTGTAACGAATTAAATGATCAAGACCAGTGGAATTAAGGAGCCCATGATGACTGAAATTGAACTTGATGATCACGGCTGAGAGTTAAGTTATCGTAACTTGAAATGAATTGACGCGAGAATGACGAGTGAATTCACGCGAATGAAAGTCCATTACTGGCCGGAGTATAATGACTGAAAAAACCGTGACAACCAGTAGAGTAACGACTTGTGAATTGAAGATACGCAACGGATGATGACTTGAATCGTATGGAAAAATGACGACTAGAATTTGCGACCCATATAATAACTAGTTAATTCACACATCGTTAATATCAGTGATGACGGGTTATAACTTAAATTTATGTGATTTAGTTTAACTTCTGCCTCGTGCTAGATTATTATTGCAGGATGCAATTCGTGCTCATTGGTTTTTAAATTACTATCTCCAAAACATTCAGAACACGCGAGTACGATAAGACCTCTTCAATAATTCTTAACGGCTGGGCTCAATTCCATGCAGACCAGCAATCACAAATCGAACTGAGAACTCAGAGGCCAGATGTAATGAGCGATCATAATGGAGTGCCAGCATCACCATTGCTTGTGATGTCACCCGCTGAATTATTAATGTACCCATAACGAATTTTCGCTCTGTTTCGAGAGCAACAAGATTTTATTATTTACGGAAAAATTAATACTGAAATAGAGAAAAGGATCCGGAATTGAATTTCATTGTGATATGTTTGCTGTGCGCTCACCAATGGCCGAGGCCGCGCCGCGTAGGAATAATCGATGACGCATCCTGCGGCAGCCAATAGGACGGCCAGGTCCGGCGACTGGCGCGGCAGCGGCCAATGGCGGTGCGATGGCAATTCTTCGAGGGCCCGAGTTTCCAGACTTCACTCAATGGCGTTCCAGTCCCGGAGCTTTTCATTAGACACGGAGCCAATAGCAGTGTCGGGACGCTGAGCAATCAATGGAGCAGAGAAGCAAAGAGGGAAGCCAGGTGAAGCAGTGATGTTGAGATTGCTTCGTTTCATTTGTTGCGTCTGCTTGGCTTCGGTTGTGGGGCTCTTGAGCGGCCTGTGGAGGCCAACAGCGAACGTCTATACGAAGCCCGAGCGCCACACACTCAAATCTGAGGCGTTCTGAAGGTAAGGAAGCATCCTGGGGGTGCCCCCTCTCGGCCCATGGAGGAGCCCCCCATCACACCCACATGGCGACCTTTGTCCCCTTCATCCACGATGGGAGGCGCAGAAATTCCTTATTATCCCACATTTATCCCCTCGTCCGTGACTGATTCTGCAAATCTGGCTCAGCACGAAAGCTGTCATAACACAGATCAATTGCCCAGCTCTGAATTTCCTTGTCCAGAGCTGGGCACGCTGCTCGACCTGGACTACCCAGCGGAGTGTTCCTCTCCTGTGGGCAAGTAAGAGGCTAGCCTCGTGTTGTTAACTCCACGCCTATTGTAGCTAACGGCCCCCTCTTTGCGCCATGTTGCCAACAGCCTCGCGTGTATACCTGGCACCTCGTGTACTGTTGTTTGAAAATTATTTGGCACATCGTGTAGAGTTGATAAATTTTTATTTACCACCTGCTGCTGAGTTGCATAGATAGTAGATGCCTAATACAGTGTTTCTGAAGGGCTCTTGCACCTGTATAGAGTTGATGAGGGTATAATCGCTACGTCTTAGGTTAGTAAGGGACTTGTGCACCACACGTGTTGCTGATGAAGGTTCCTGCACAACGTGTAGTGTTGTTAAATGATTATTGCACCGCGTGAATATGGTTTCTAGAAGTATGTGACGCCACATGAAGCGTTATTTAAGGGTTGTGACACTAAGTGAAGTGCTGTTGAAGGGTTTCAGCGCAACGTTGTGTTAGTACAGTGTACAGCAACGTTGTGTTGGTACAGCAATGTGAAAAGTTTTTGAAGGTTAATGGCATCTCAAAAACTGTTGCATCTCAAAAAATGGTTGTGGCCCCACGTGAAGTGTTGCTAAAGTATTGCGGCATGCACCACGTCAAGTGCTGTTGAAGTAAAATAGCCTCAAGTAATGTGTTGTTAAAAAATGTTGACACGACATGAAGTGTTGTTATAGTGAGATGGTATCACGTAAAGTGTTGTTAAAATATTGTGACACCACATGAAGTATTGTTAAAGTGAGATGGCAGTGAGATACTCACAGCCATCTAAGCCGAGATACTCACAGCCATACTAAAGTGAGATACTCACAGCAGTGAGTGACAGAGAGCGCATTTTCTCGTCGACGAAAATGTGAAGTCACGTAAAGACAGACGGACATACGGACAGACAGACGGACATGACGAGCACAATAGCGCATTTATATCCATAAATGAGAAAATGCGCTAAATATTATGACACCACATGAAGTGTTGTTAAAGTGAGATGGCATCACGTACGTACTGTAAGTGCTGTTAAAGTGTTAATTGTTGAATTAAATGTTAATTTTTCGCGCAGTGAAAAATAAGTCAAAGTAATCGAATTAAATTACCGTCGAGAACCCTTCGATCATATCGCTTTCGTCAGGGAGGGAAATCAATGCGATAATTTACCATTCGGTCAACCGTCATTTGTAAGAATATCAATTTATCCTCGTAGTTTGATATCAAATTCTAAATTACTCTCGAGATGCATTTGTAACCCCAGTCGCCAATAGCACTCATAATTGAGTCATATGGATAAAAAACACGAAAATCTGAACCACGATAGCCAAATGTACGTAGAATTTCCGCGGGGTAATAGGATAGTTTTTTCCCCATTGTGATCTGAACTTCCATACATTACTTGGGAATAAATAACGCTATGTCCATATTGTGGTCAAGAAAATATTACGTTCCAGAATTAAGAGGAAGTTTATTTTTGGCCGTTGAAGGAGCGCACCAGCTATATAAAAGGGTCGAAAACGAAACATTAATTAAGCGTCCTGACATGATCTCCTCGATGATTGCATCGTTGATTGTCTCGAACATCATATCACCATACAATGTTTCAACGGCGGGAACAAAACGTGCTTGATTAACAGATTTGAAACGATGCATTTACGTGACTGACTGAACGATGCTTTCGTCACTCGGTATCATGCCAATCGCTCCCATTTAAAGGAATTACTTGTTTTTATACTGCGAAGAATAGCACGGTACATCATAGCACGTCTGTTCATCACTCAATTTGCTCTAATTACTCATCTCATTCGGTGGCACAAAATTATTGGGAAACTTGTTCGTGTCTGACATTCTATGCCTAGCTGATCTCTTGTTATGCTACCAGTTATTCTTTATTACATTGTATATTTTTATTTTTGCAGCGTGCCTGTGCACTGAACCGTAAGCTATACCAGGAACTGACGGTCTATATATTATGGTATAATATACGTATAGTACTACTAATTCATTGTAAGCCATGCCAATAACTTCAATCACTTTACAATAAGTGTACATGTACTGTATATCATGCACTCTTCCATTCATTCGCGTAGCTGTACAATGTACAAATTGCACATGCACTGTATCGTAAGCTATGGTCGTTCCTCAACATGTAGGAGGGAGCGAGATGGCTGTAGGCACTCCTGGCTCGTCAGGTAGTGAGTGCAACAGCAGCATGTCGGCTTACGAGGGCAACCCTCAGCATCCCTGCAGTCACCACCACTTCTCTTCTTCCTCCGACACTGAGGACTATCTACTCAGCTTCCATTATTTAAGGTATCTTCGCTACTGACTTCGCACTTACGCTACCGTCACACGAGTTGACACTGAACAGTATACTGTACTCGTGCACTCAACTCGCCGCTCGTTAATGATAATGCTGGGCAAAACTATAATTTGCTGGTTTCAAGAACCTCATGATAACTACGAATTACGAGTAAGTATAGATTGTGATAAGTTGATCTCCCTAGGAAGATCTGCTTCAGCTTTATGTTAGAAATAGATCGTTTCAGTCGAAGGCCAGCGACATTATCGCTGTGGCGATTTGAGTGGCATTGACGCTATAACAAGTTGTTTTACTAACTAGTTGTTACTGGCACACTTCTGCAAAGAGGGCAAGTTTACGCTCGAATCATTGTTACTTTGATACTTAATGCTCTGTAATGACTAGTAGTATTTTGATAAACATTGCTTAATTTACTTTTACTTTATCACATTGTTCACCAACTAGCATCTTCCACTGAACCATTGCTGCGTAAACTTTTAAGATCTCCGATAAGTTCCTTGATAACAAAAAAATATTAACACTTGTACATTTTTTATTCTCTTAAAAAATTTCTTGATTGCTATTAGCTTTGATTACTCATCGCCTACCGTCAATTTGTGAGTCTAAAACTTCCTTATCCTTATACAGGGTGTCACAAAAAAACGATATTCAACTTTGAATGGCTGTAACTCAAAAAGCAAAAGAGTTGAAAAAATTTAAAATGTCGGGATTTGTTCCCTATGTTTTTCTCCATTTCTCCACCAAAAATCAGACAGATCGATGTAGCCATAAGCGTTTGATAGAACTTTCAGTGGCATGCGCTAAAATCGTGCTTGCGCAAAGTTTCAGTAAGATCATTTTGCATGATCATTACGTTGTCTTGACATGTTTTCTTTTAACAATCCTGACAATTTTTGGTGAGACACAATCATGGCAATCTTTGGTGAGAGACAATCATGGCAATCTTTGGTGAGAGGCAATCATGGCAATCTTTGGTGAGAGACAATCATGACAATCTTTGGTGAGACACAATCATGGCAATCTTTGGTGAGAGACAATCTTTGGTGAGAGGTAATCTTTGGTTTTGAAATTCTCTCTCACCAAAGATTGCCATGATTGTCTCTCACCAAAGATTGTCATGATTGCCTCTCACCAAATATTGCCTCACACCAGAGATTGCCACGATTGTCTCTCACCAAAGATTGCCATGATTAAGTCTCACCAAAGATTGCCATGATTGTGTTTCACCAGAGATTGCCATGATTGTCTCTCACCAAAGATTGCCATGATTGTCTCTCACCAAAGATTGCCATGATTGTCTCTCACCAAAGATTGCCATGATTGTGTCTCACCAAAGATTGCCATGATTGTGTCTCACCAAAGATTGTCATGATTGTGTCTCACCAAAGATTGCCATGATTGTGTCTCACCAATGATTGCCATGATTGTCTTTCACCAAAGATTGCCATGATTGTCTCTCGCCAAAAATTGCATGTTTTTATCTCACCAAAGATTGTCATGATTGTCTTTCACCAAAGATTGCCATGTTTTTGTCTCACCAAAGATTGTCATGATTGCCTCTCACCAAAGATTGCCATGTTTTTGTCTCACCAAAGATACAAAAAATAAAACAGCGAAAAGAAAACATGTCAAGACAACCTAATGATTATGCAAAATGATCTTACTGAAACTGCGCAAGCACGATTTTAGCGCATGCCACTGAAAGTTCTATCAAACGCTTATGGCTACATCGATCTGTCTGATTTTTGGTGGAGAAATGGAGAAACATAGGGAACAAATTCTGACCTTCCAAATTTTTTTAGCTCTATTACTTTTCGAGTTACAGCCATTCAAAGTTGAATATCGTTTTTTTGTACACCCTGTATAGTGCAAGTTTATATGAGAACCTGAATTGCTTGCTGTCTGCCTGCGTGTTACGGGATCAAACAACAATAATATTATTGTAATGAAGTTAATGATTTAGATCTAATTAGAAGCGTGATGCGTGTTGATCAAAATAGTATTATGACAATAGATACTGAGAAGAAAAAAACAGAATTTTTAACACAGCATCATTTTTTACGAGAAATGATATAATGGAGTTAATCATTTTTATATTATGAAAGCCAAATTATAGCAGATGATTTTCACCCAACGAACTATCATTTTCATTTAAAATGTGCATTGTAATTCTTATAAAATTTTTAGTACTTTGTGTGTGGGAAGTAATAGATTTTAATTTCCAACATTGTTTCTTTAATAATCAAGGAAATCAATAGCTTTTTATCTACATTAATTATTGCACAATTGGCCAGATACTCCTATTGGATTGATCAATAAATTTTTCCCATACGGATAACGCTGAGGCTTATTGGAAAAAATTATTAATAATTTTTTGCTTCTGTTTAGGAAATTTACAAATAATAACCCGTCTTTGTTAAGTTGCTTTTCTGTTTGGTGTTCTGTGAACCTGTAAGGGCAAACATTTATCCCGATTCCAAGCAAATCTTTATAGGGAAGCTTACGCGCAGCATTTGTTCATCCATTTTCTCCTTGTAAAAAATTTTATTGCTACAGAATAGATTTATTGAAATTAATCTACAGGAATATTATGGGCACACAATATTTTGGGAATTAGTTTGTATCATTTTAAGGAATGCTCGGAAATGCGAGTATAGTATATGAGAAATTGATTGTCTCGAACTAATCGTATGCTGAAATGTTTACAGAGATGCTGGCATGTTCTGTTCACGAGAGCGGGGAGACCACATGGCCGACGTGCTGCTCTCCCTCAAGCACGCAGTTGTTCATCCCCACCAGGTGGGTGAACTTGCATGCACATCCCCTACTTGCTGTTCGCTGCCTCCTCTAAGTGCGCCCTATGAGCATTATCCTCCGACTTCCGTTGCTCAGCGCGAGGTGCTATCGCCTCCTTCAACATCTCTCGACCTCCCGTCGAGCGTTCTTGGTGATAGCCTCGACGATAACCTCATTGACGACCCGAGAGCAGACAATTCTTTTAGTCTAAGTTGCTTGGTGTCCCCATCTCATTCCCAACCTTCTTCATCCCCAAATTTGCCCATATCTTCTCCACCAATATTTACCCAGCTCACCTCAACTCCACCACCAGCCAACTCAGCAAACGAAAGCAATCGATCTGCGGAGCCGGCCGAGCAGATCAAGGACGTTTCCTCTCCTTTCCAAGATGAATTGCAGTTATTTTCACCTCAATGTGCATTTAGCTGTCAACCGGTTCAGAACGTTCCACTGTCCTCATCCAACAGCTTCCAATATTCAACTTCAAACAATGTGCTCTCAGATGGTCATTTTTCACATTCTTCTGCGTTCACTCCGGTTGGGTCACTACCATCATTTGTTCATCCGAGACAAACAGCGATTGAGTATGCAAATGTGAATCACCTGAGCTTCGAAGACATATCTAATTGTCACCAAAATTTTGCATCGAAATCAAATGAAGAATCTTTCGCTTCTCAAGACATTAGCTGCGAGGATATTGATTGTTTAAATGATTCGGGTACTACCGAACAATCCGAGCCTGGGATATCGGCTTCAACTGAGTCCTTGTTTTATAACGTTGAAAATTGTCCATCTAAAACAATGAATGATGAACACTGGAAGGGCTTTTCGTCCTACGAAAGTCTCCCAGACTCACAGTTAGACAGTACAGCTACTTTGAAAAATTCACTTGGAGAAACTCAAGGGTGTTATTTCACTGCAACGTTTGAACACAATCCTCTTTACCCATCAAGTGTGTCGGGAGTTGTCCCCCGGTTAAATTTGACGGACGCTTCATTTATCACGAACCTATCTCCTGTAAGTTCAGGATCAATAATTCCTCAAGTTTTATCTCCTTCGGGCATACTAACTTCTTTGGCACCCACTGAAATAACGGGAGTTGCCACAGGCACCATCACGAGCAGCTTCTTGCCGCCGTCATACTCACCATGCCTCGACGAGGTGAGGCGTCGGAGCGCACCTTACGTTGCGCTCACTGCAGTAGTCGTAATGCTGCGTTCAATGCAGTACCGTAATATTGCGCTCACTGCAGTAGTCGTAATGCTGCGTTCAATGCAGTACCGTAATATTGCGTTCACTGCAGTAGTCCTAATGCTGCGTTCAACGCAGTACCGTAATATTGCGCTCACTGCAGTAGTCCTAATGCTGCGTTCAACGCAGTACCGTAATATTGCGCTCACTGCAGTAACCGTATATTAAGCCTCTTTAATTATTGATACGCACTCACCTAAAGGATGCATCATCGACCTTTACAGGAAGCTTCGAGGAGGTCGAATACGAGTGCACTGCTCGATCGGGAGATGCCCCCCCCCCCAAGATGTACTTTTGTTGAAATTTATCTTCATAAATTGCTTGCACACATTAAGTTTATGTCGACCATTGCTTGACTTAGTTTAGCTCACCACAAGTACAGTTACGAAAAAAATGTAGGTAAATTAGATATTTTGATTGCCTTGTTGTGTGAATTTCGTTTGCAGATTTATTTTTTTTCATGTCAAGCGTCTTGGTACTGATCTAGACCAAATCTGTATTGCTTCTCCTGAACAGTATTAGCGCACATGTATCACGCCTCGTTTAATGCTGCTGATTTTTTTCGTAAGATTTTAAATAATTTTCAATCTAATTGTAATTTTGCCCTGACAATAATAAGGTATTCTTCTTTATATGAAACATCATAGATGCCTACGAATTCCCATTCCATAGAATATTATTAAGTGTCTATGTGATATTGTAGAGCTGTAACCAAATAGCGCATTCATGCAATAATTCGACTTAAGCTGCAGTCCTTGCTTGTTGATAAGTTTTCAATAATTTACTTGGATTTTATTAATTTTGCGTTTGAGTTTTGGTAGATATTGTAAATCAACTATTAGTGAAAGAAAGTAAATTTGGGCACCCATGAAAAAAAATACCTTATTTGATCACTTCAAGTTTGTCGCATTACTCGGAATTTTCTATAACATGCGTTGGCCGTTGTAAATTCACATTGAGTATGTATATACGCTCTGTAGCAGCAAGCTAGTATGTTATCAAGGCGCGGAAATGCAATGCATGAAATAATGTAATTGTGCTGAGTACAGCGTGGGAGAAGATCTCCTTATGGGTCATTATCAGCACACCGTATAAGAATGCGATTCGTAAATTCATCAGTAAATCAATTGTAAACAAATATTACATGTATCTCGACTACACTGGAAGAAATTCTTAAGTTTGGGAAAACATCATAGTCATTAACTAATAATAAGAGTCTCCCCAAGAAAACATTTAACTATAAAGAACTGAACTTCAATGGCATAATACTTGCCCCTCACTTTTTAATTCATGCTCCCAGACAATAATTTTGTTCAACCTTCAAATAAGCCCCATTAGGAATGATGGCCGAATCATAAGCCGTATTTTCTTATATGTACTGACTACTATAACACCATCCCTACCAAGGTTGGCGGGGTTGGTAGTTGCACGCGGTGGTGCTGGTTAGTGCATGGTTACTAGCCCTACCTCGGTGGCAGGGCAGACAGAGAACCCAAAAGCGATGATATTCGCAAACATTTGGCGTCCTCTGCCTATTGCCAAAAATATTTATTCAAGAATAGCGAAACAGTTTCATAGTTCTACAATATCCATAATAGGCATTATAAATTTATTTAACCCCTCTGGATTACTGTAATGACATTGACGCATTTTAAAATTTTGCGATGAATTTCATTACAAATAGATGCCTGTATTGAGAATGTAAATTAACATATACAAAAAGATACAAATAAATACCAGATAGTTCTCGAGAAGTAAGCTATCGGCCTAATACTTTTCAATGCGGATCCATGCACATAAATCAAAACGAACCATGTTTTTGTGTGAAGAGTGATATTTAACTTTAAGATGGCCGCCCTAATATAGACGTCGCGGCACAGGGCCTGCAGAGTATGGCGGGAGGCTGCACAGCGTACGGCGGCGCCCCGTACCAAGACCCCTGCGGGTATCCCAACCACGGCCCCACCACCGCCGCGCACGTCTTCCCTGCCATGAGTGTCAACGTCTCCATGAACATGACGATGGGCGTCTCGAACGTCAACATGCAGGGCTACGCACCCGAGCCTCCCCTGCAACATCAGGTATGGGCGTCTCGAACGTCAACATGCAGGGCTACGCCTGTCTCTTATNGTTTGTCTCTACACTTGAGGTTGTCTCTACACTTGAGGTTGTCTCTACACTTGAGGTTTGTCTCTTCACTAGTCAAATCATCGACTGCTGCAGCCATGAGAGGAAAATAGTGCATGATTTTTGTAATCAGAATTTGTTTTTATGATCATAGCACATGCATCTATCACTGACATCCATTGTACATGACTACTGTATTTCCTGTCCGATTAGGAAGGTACATTAAAAGCCATGCATTGCTACTATTTCGCAAAACTATTGACAATTAGGACTACTTAAAAGAGGTCAGCGCTCTTATCTATGAATTCTATGAAATTCAGCTGTAATGTCTTCTTGTATCAATGTTACTGCTTTCACAATCTAACACCATCCTCAAATAATGCATTTGTTAATTGTTATACATGCATTTGTTAAGTGTAATAATGCATTTGTTGAGTGTATACAAATACTAAAATATATTTACACTTATAGTTTCTCATATAAGCTAATCAGTTGCATTCGATGTTTTTAATTAGAATTAGAGTACAAAATTCAGTATCGGCCTGACCAGAGATGGATTTTTAATGCAAGTAATGGTGAGCTATGTTCATGATCTTCATTTAATAGAAGATATACAATACCGGGAAAGTAATCCATTTCACACATTCATTGCTTCATATTCTAACATCATGAGCACAAGGAGTTAATCGTAAATATGCTATTTAACGTCATGACGACTAATTTGTGTGCTTGACGCGCTACTAAAGAACGAATTCCCGCGCAGTGGAACAGCAGCTGCCAACAAGGGGGCGCAGGAGTAGGCGTGCCGTCCGTGATGGGGCCAGCGTACCCTGCAGCAGGGGGCCCTCAGGGCCTCATCAGCCCTCTGCCTGTCGGCTACAGGTGAACAGAAACAGTTTATGTTTTTTGTTGATAATTAATATTTCTCGCAACTTGAATCGATACCACCGGACGCAGTCGCACAGCTGCAGATTTCCAACGTTCACAAGTATTTTACCGTGCATCCCCTGTATTTTTCCTATAATAAATGTATTCCTGTCATTTCGCCTTTACTTTGTAATGACTCCTGTGTCCCTTTTCAAAACGGTCTCATGCATCTCGTCATGACTGCTCCATGTATCTTGTCATGACTGCTCCATGTATCTTGTCATGACTGCTCCATGTATCTTGTCATGACTGCTCCATGTATCTTGTCATGACTGCCTCATGTATCTTGTCATGACTGCTCCATGTATCTTGTCATGACTGCCTTATGTATCTTGTCATGACTGCCTTATGTATCTTGCCATGACTGCTCCATGTATCTTGCCATGACTGCTCCATGTATGCTCTGGAGCTCAGTTCATGTAGTCACGGTTGGTCAAAAGGTAAGATTTTTAAGCAATGTTATGGAAGTATAATAAGACGTGGTTGACCAGAATTTTCAAGTAGCGGTATGGATGTTTTATATCACGTGTTTGGCAGGATTATTTTAGGAAAAAACAATCACGTTTGCATAAAAATTGAGTATAATCTGATTTTAATTATCCTGTCTGAATTTAAAAGCCCAAAATGCAATCGACAATCGTGAGTATAGAAGTTTTGTAGGCAAAATCAGGATTAATTAATACATAAGGAAGCGGTGGAAAAATTCTTTGACTTTATTTCCTAGTAATCAAGTTGACGATTTTTTTCACAATGATACGTAATAGTTCTGATGCTTCTGACAAAAAGTTTATTATCTGCTTGAACATTGCAGTCAAGTCTATGAAAACTGAGCAAAAGTAATCGTATTATTGATTTGTTGATGAAAGAAATTAAGAGTGGCGAGTAAAAGTGGCATTATTGTCATTTGTTTTATTCATGATCAACATTAAATGTTGGATGGAGGCAGTGACTTCACGCTTAAGATAGTTAAATATCAGGCTGAAGCTCCGTAGACTTTAGAGTAGTCGTAGATCCTATCTAGAGTGGCAAAACAACTATGTCTGTACTATGCGAAGTGGTACTCAGCAATCTCGGTGCAGCTTGTAGTTCCTCGTATCCAACTTAAGAGCGCAGTGCCCCATATACAATCTCCTAAAAAATATAACTCAGTACTCACTGCATTGAGCGACAGAGAGCGCATTTTCTCGTCGACGAAAACTTGAGGTCACGGAAAGACGGACAGACGGACAGACGGACGGACGGACATGGCGAGCACAATAGTGCATTTTTTCTATAAATGAGAAAATGCGCTAAAAATCAGCTTGTAAGATTTGATTTTATTCATATGGCAACTGATAAATTGCATCTGGCAGCAACTTACATGTAGGTATATATGTTATCTGGCAGCATTATAATAAATTAATTAAAATTAATTAGGTAAATTAAAAATTAATTAAGTTCAATATATAATTTTGCAATCTGCGCACATTCCAACAATAATTGTAACAAATAAAAAATGAAGAAAATTTTTAATTTGAAATTTAAGAACACATTTTTCACCAGTCTTACTATAAAACCGAAACGTGGAACCTGGCATTCACATTACCTACATTTTTCTTGCTCTGTGATCTTCACGATGCATTTCGTCACAAAATTCCTAAACAATCTCCCCTGACGCTGGTATCGCAGCTAAACCTATAGGTAAACATTTGTGGTAACATTTTTGGTTACTTGGCTGCTTCTTTTTCCGTGAAACACTGAGGATAAATGAAGTTAAGAGTTATCTTCTACAGCTCCCCGTGCAACCAGCCGTACGGTGTGACACCGTACTCATGGGCCAGCGACCCTCACTGCTTCGGTCCCTTCGAGCGAGATCCTTGTCTGAAGTCCCCCAGCCTGCGCCAACGGCCATCCACTCCCCCAGGGGGATACTTCAACCCTATTCACCCTGGAAGCGTCCCCTCCCCCGGCCTCGGGTGTCTCAGAAGGCGGCCCTGTTCTGGTCCTCCTCAGGTGGACATGACTAAGTCATTTATTGGGGACGCGGGTGGCCTCAAGACGAACTTGTGTCGCATTTGTGGCAAGACCTACGCCAGACCGTCCACCCTCAAGACGCACCTCCGCACCCACAGCGGCGAGAAGCCTTACAGGTCTCGCCCCAGACACTTATATGCGTTTGCTCCACTTGTACTTGGTATCTATGATGATCAACATGAAGCGGTTCTTGCAACGAGAATATAATGGTCATATATATGTCAGAGCCTATACTTCACGCAGCGTATAATTTGAAAATATTTCAACTAATGAGACCGACATTGTATGTAATATGTAATGATGTACATTTACTAAACTAACTATAAATTATTTATTTATTTTTTCATTCTGCTGGTGTACTCGTCCTTTTTTCTTGCTCTCGTCATAGATATAATTTTTAAATATTTTATTTCAATGGAGGAGAAGTAATCATGATTGCTACACATGCACTACTTAATATATCATTAATATCTGCTGCTCAGGTGCGACCAGTGCAACAAGTCGTTCAGTCAGGCGGCCAACCTGACGGCACACGTGCGCACGCACAGCGGCGAGAAGCCCTTCCGCTGCCCCATCTGCGAACGCCGCTTCTCGCAGAGCTCGTCCGTGACCACGCACATGCGCACGCACTCCGGCGACCGCCCCTACAGGTACTACAGAATGTGGCGTAGCGCACACATGCGCACGCACTCCGGCGACCGCCCCTACAGGTACTACAGAGTGTGGCGTAGCGCGCACATGCGCACGCACTCCGGCGACCGCCCCTACAGGTACTACAGAGTGTGGCGTAGCGCGCACATGCGTACGCACTCCGGCGACCGCCCCTACAGGTACTACAGAGTTTGGCGTAGCGCGCACATGCGCACGCACTCTGGCGACCGCCCCTACAGGTACGGCCGAATGTGGCGTAGCATGCACATACGCACGCAATTCGGCGACCGCCCTACAGGTACGGCCGAGAGTGGAATAACACTGCATCACAGGTTCCAGTAAGGGCGGCACGCCATAAAATGGTTGAAATGACCCTCAGGTCAACTCACTCCATTTGGACACTGAACGACATAATTTTGTCACGTTCTTCTTGCCTTAGCGACCAAATAAACTTAACTGAGAGGATCGGAATTCTATTCTAGAAGTACTCACAGATATTTTTATCATATTCATCACAAATATTTTCATTGTTATCTAAATTTCGGTCAGAATTATTTTTGGATCACGCTATCGAATCCGGTCGTTCCATCACCGCTTCACTCATTCTCAATTAATAAAGTAAAGTGTACTATCTTCGTAATAACTATGCATTATAATGGTTCATATCGACAGGTGCCGGATGTGCAAGAAGGCTTTCAGCGACTCCTCGACGCTGACCAAGCACCTTCGTATCCACTCTGGGGAGAAGCCATACCAGTGCAAGCTGTGTCTGCTGCGCTTCAGCCAGTCTGGCAACCTCAACCGACACATGAGAGTTCACACGCAAACTTCTTGAGACCAACTAATCCATTTCTATAGCACGTGAACAGTCATTCTTCCAAACAATCTGCTTTTTTAAAACATTAGAAAATTGCTTCCGAGACGTGAACCGAGCATTTATTTCTTGCAATATTGTTTTATACTTTTCACTTAAATTAAGTTTATGCTTTTCACCGATTACGCGTGAAATGCACAAATCTCATCATAAAATTAAGGCTTTACACTTTTCGTGCTCATTTTTTAAGTTTTGGTTTAACCCTATGAGTTTTACGGACTAAGCCTTATACTCGCAGGGAAAAAATATTTCATCGAAACATTTTTTATCGATACATCTTTTCCAAACATAACGATCCTGTAATTCAGCATCGAAATTCATAACGATCACAGTTTAAAATTTACTCTATTGTGTGAATAATTACAGGAAGCAAATTTTAGGTAGATTAGGATAAGCTAACAGTGACATGACGTAGAGATTTGTTCTAATACCATACTTGCGATATATATTTATTAACGGAACCTAGCTAAAACATTTTTGTTTTGTCTCGTTGTCTTGTGAGCTAAACTCATATGAAGACGCTATTAGATCTCTTCCATTTGGCTATTCGTTGTCCTGAGCCCCGTTTCCTTTGAGTTTAGTTCAACTGTGGCACGAGACTAAGTAAATTGCGAATAATAATCAAAAGGAGCCGACTCTTGAAGTTGTTGCTGGATACGAGATAATATAGGCTGAAAACCTACACGAAATGTTGCAAATTTCAGCATCAGTCGATGAAGCAAAAAATTTTACACTTAATATTCTTTCAGATGCCGACGCACACTCTAATGTTACGCTCGCTCAACACGCTATTTAGAGAAGTACTCCACAATCAATGCGCAAATATTGAGACCTCTGGGCACATGCAGCGCCGCACACATTCGATCACTGATCCCGTGGCCAACTGAGTACGATGACCGACCGTAACTAGGACGCTTTGATATAAATTCATAGTAAAATAATTATAGCTCTTCAAATGAACCCCACATCAGCATTATTAAAGGGAATCAATTCCTTGCTGCTAGAGTGCGACATATTGAGTATAACTGTCACTCACTGGCATCACAATTTAGTTCCTATGTACAGTTCGTCATTTCTTTTTCTGCATCTCTTCAATTCTTAACGCATGACCCACCTTACAGTTTATTCAACATTCCAGCCAAGGAGTATCAATAGCTTATTTAACATTTCGCCTTTGAATGTCAACAGCTTCTCAACATTCCAGCCATGGAATATGGACAGTTGATTGAACATTTCAGCCATGATATATCAACAGCTTATTTGACATCCCAGCCATGGAATCATAACAGCTTAGATAACACTTCGCCATTGAATGTCAACAGCTTCTCATCATTCCAGCCGTGAAATATCGACAGTTGATTGAACATTTCAGCCATGGAACATAAACAGCTTATTTAACATACGACTTTTCTGTTGAGGACCTTTATTAAGACATAACAAAATGTTACCTGCTACGTTTGGGGTAAACGTTGGCTTCCATTATTATTTCTAGCCACGTTTTATGTTATATTTTTTATGGCTTCCTAATTATTGTTTGTGTATAGACATCAATTACAGTGGGTCTAATCAGTCACGTCAGCATGGCTAAGTACCCCATTGAAGGTTCTAGCACAACAAGCCCTAGCTGAGCTCAGTAGAATAGGAGAACTCGTATGAGGACTTCGCCACAGAAATTAAACTGTAAATAATTGTATTGTAAATAAGTGTTTAATGGTTCGTACTTTTGTGTATAGTCGACGTTTAAATTTCATGTTATGACCAAGTCTACAATTAAACACAAAAATGATGAGCCTCACAAAATCTCATTGAGCCTCTTGTAATTTTATTTTCTTTGCGTCTGCAGAGAGAAATTTATTTCCAGGTTAGTTATCCCAGAGTTAACTTCCAATGGGATTGATATATAGGATCGGTCCAGAGAACCAGGAATATAAGAAAAACTTTAAAATTTATTAGGACTTTTCAATTTTGTCTTTCTTTTTAGCGCATTTTCTCATTTATGGAAAAAATGCACTATTGTGCTCGCCATGTCCGTCCGTCCGTCTGTCTGTCTGTCTGTCTGTCCGTCTGTCTGTCTATCCGTCTGTCCGTGACCTCATGTTTTCGTCGACGAGAAAATACGCTCTTTGTCACTCACCGCAGTGAGTATACTGAGTTATATTTTTTCTAACTACTCCTAACAGTTTGCCGTGCAGTCTTTTCAGGACATGTTGGCACAAGCCCTCAGAAGCGCCGTAACTTAAGATCATTCATCACCGACAGTCATTTGAAATGAGAGTTAGGCACGACCATGCAACAAAAACACAGTTCTGGACGAGCTCGTAACAACCGCCGCAGTAAAGCTAGATAGACGGTAGAGGTAAAAAATATAACTCAGTACTCACTGCAGTGAGTGACGGAGAGCGCATTTTCTCGTCGACGAAAACTTGAGGTCACGGACAGACGGACGGATGGACATGGCGAGCACAATTGTGCATTTTTTCCATAAATGAGAAAATGCGCTAAAAATGGTTAAAAAGTAGGTAAAGCTAAGTACTCAGCTCTGTGCACTCGCAGGGAGCCGTTATATTTGAAAACTCTACGTGTGATATTTGAATGAATTAAATTTTGTTGTATGAAACTGTTTAAGAGCATGGCATTTATGTATATAATTACCTTCAAATCTGCGATACACGACTGAACCCTGTATCGTCCACTGTAGCATTCAATTTTCAGGTCTTAAAAAGAATTTTTGAATTTATCAATACTTTGCATGGTATATTCGTTTCCATCCAGCTATTTACATATTGGTACTTATGCAAAGTTTTAAAGGTTATTGGATTTGGGATCAATTTGATATCGACGAGGCCCAAGGAATAGGTAATCAGGAGGTTGACGCGGGGTAAATTTTACAATTTGATTAGGTCGTTATAGGAGGAGAACGCTAGAGGTCATAGACTGGCCAGCAAAAGTCTATCCAAGAAAGGCAAACCGACCAAAATACAAAAAGGAAAATGTCGCAAATGTTCTTCATATTTAACGGAACAGAGACCTGAGAACAAGGTTTACAAGCTGATACACAAATTAAACTTAAAATCAACTTTAATGTCCACAATATTAAAAATTAAGCTGAGTAATAAATGTGGGGCTCGCTGCCTTTGAAATTCAATTCTCACATAATTCAATTATTGTTCAGTTCCTCTCATAACATCACTAAATATTTACTGATAACCTACTCTTTCCAATCAGGTAGTTATTGAGGTTGAACAGCAGGCAGTGCTTTGCCTAAGACCAAGTTAGTTCCAAAAAACCCCTTCACGTAACTGGTTAATAACATACTCCACAAACAAGAAAATTAAATTATATAAAGTGACAGAGTTTTACGATCAATGAGTTTGTGGTTTTAATTTATTTTATTTAATAAAAATTAAATAAAATTTCAGCTATTTAATAAAGTTTACTCTGACCTCCCAGATATGCCAATGCTATCAATTTGTGATCCAATGACTGACTCTTCCTTCATATGATTTCACTGAACAGGGTAGGCCAAGGTAAGAGAGTTCTTTTTGCAAAACTAGTTCTAGGCTAAGGTTGGTGGGAACATACAATACTGAATTTTAGATAGGTACAAAAACAGAAATTATTACACTAAAATAAATGCTTACACAATTATTAAACTAAACACTCATACAGCTGATTATTTTAAGTTTAATTAAGTATTTTATCGGAGCACAAGAGAAGGAACGTTTATAAAGAAGAAAGAAAGATATAAGAAATCCGGTGCCTGCCGTGGGCTGTTTGCCAGATTGATTATTTGGAATTATCGCTGCACGTGCCAGAATTATCGTGGATTACAGAATATTATATTTGTTATTACAAGAGCAGAATATTTATATGTTATTACAAGACCGTAGATAATTCCGGCATTAAAATATATAAAAATACAGTTTTCTTCTAGTAATCTCGTGAATCACTAGGTTTTATACCTGTCTGGTTGATTTTTTTTTTATGAATTCATGAACAGTCTTTAGGGATATTTACTCAATCAGGTAATATCCGTTATTCTTATGAAACAATTTGTTCTACAATTTATATCTGTCATCGAAGTAAATAACTGACTTGACTTTCCAGGGTAAGCCGCTTAAAGGCTCAAATATCTGGCAAAGGTCAACAGATCACTGGGTATGTGGATCCATGGTTGAACTATAACTACTAGTTCAACCATGATGTGGATCAACGGGACGTCTCGGACAAATTTGCGGCCGGACCCGCGGCCGGTCTCGCGGCCGCCGGACTCCAAACAGAGAAAAACCTAGCCAATCAACGAAAACCTCGCAGGTTAGGTCCAGTTAGGAACAGGTTCTATTAAAAAAAAACACAAAAAAACTATAAAACACTAAGAAAACCTTTCCGGCCGCGAGACCGTGTCCGAGACCTGATCACGGGTGATCAAACAGAAGCCGGGCTACTTAGAGTATTGCTTCCTCTTTTAAGTGAACAAGCGGCGATGAGAATCTTGACTTTTTTGTTATTATTATAATTATTGTATTATTATTATTTTTAACATCGTTGCTCACACTCAACTGGGAATACGAAATCTTTACGCCATCGGATGTTGAGTACCTACCTAGTGAGCGGTAATAGTTTCTGGCGGACGGATGTTAATGATTTTTTCGATACGAATGATTCGGTGGTTATTATTTACCTGGTAGGAGGATATAATTAGGTTCTAGTATTTAATATATAACATACAGGAAGTTCCTGTTTCAAACACATATGCAAACCAAATCAAATTATGTGCTTATTAAACACCATATGCACATGATCTCTAGAGGAAAGACGTTTGTTTCGAAGCAAATTCACAACGTTCGGTTGATTTTGCCTATAAAATCAAATACATCGGTCCAACTAATCAAGGGAAATGCATATGTATTTTGCTACAATTGAAGTTTAACATCATATTTATACCTAATTTTAAACATCTAACTATCCTGACAGGATATTTTTGAGTTTGCTGTTATCCTCGCTTGATACGAGAATCGGGATTATTAGCTTACAATCGGGAAATTAGCTTATTTTTGGAACAACGTAATTCTGCTCAAACAGATTTTTATTTTGTTAATTTTCTGCCAACCCTCTTCTTCTCTGTTATGCAATGCATGATGAAATTACCATTTTTAATAAAATTTCGGATGGAATTAATATTCCGCTACGAGAGATATAATTTATGAAGGTTTGACTGAAGACCACAAAATCATACCTGCTGATTACAAGATCTTAGTAGTATATGTTGGTTACATTTATTACATTTGGTGTTGTTGCGTCTGTTTTTGTTGGATGTGTTAGAACTTTGAAAAAGTTTTCTACGTGATTTTTGGGCTTAAAATTTGAAGTGGTTTCCTATGTTATACGTATTGTTATGGTTATACATATTGTGATTATTAAATGAAACATAAATTGATAATAAGTTTGATACATTCGAAACGTGGTTAAAGTATTAGAAATCTTACGGCAACTTGACTTTTGATCTACCAACAACAACAGAAATATTTTTTGAATTTTTATTTAAGATGAAGATTATAGATTAAACACATTAATTGGTCTTCCATCAAACATGTCTGAATAAACAAATTAGGCAATGCTATTTCGATAGGTGTAATGCAAATGCGTTGGAATAATATAGGAAGGCTTCAAACACAATAACAAAAGCTGACTAAAAACTGATAACTAAAACATAGATCCTAAATTATTTAAGATCGGAAAAGTTAAAAACTGAACGATCTAAAAGCGAGCAAATTGTCTGTGCAAAATCATCAACGATGTTTTATTTGAATGAGTTCAGCAGTTTGGGTTTGGTGGTATTTATTGGTCGCCGAAACTTGCCAGAAACCGGCCGTGAAATGTCTGATGGATATATTACCTGCAGACATGTTATCACAGTTACTTACGTGAAAATCTAACTCAATTTGATGTTTGACAAAAGTTATTAAATTTAATCGTTGAACATGGCTTTTATCTAACATGCGCTCCAACACTATCGCAGGAACACGTGTTTAATAGTATTCAGTAGCGTGATTATATTTCTCTGTTACTTCGGTGATACGAACTATATTATAGGATCCAGGATTTGGCGCCAAGTTTGTGAACGCCGTCTAACTCGTAACCTCGCTCTGCCCTGCCCATTCTTCAAAAGTGCGTTACTGTACGTAGCGGTTCTCTGTCACCTGTTAGCTCACCACATGTCCACATCGAGATCTTATATTTATATTCTTCGAAATTCTTGAGTTCAATTAGGAGCAATTATGTCTGGCAGAGGAAAAGGAGGTAAATTATAATGCTCATATTAATTGTATTTCATAATGTGTCTGGAAAATAACTTTGGATTTCTTCGCCTTTAGGCTTTAGTGTAGCTAATCATGTGGTGTTCTGTCATGTTTAATGATCCCATTCCTATATAGGCTAGTATATTCTGTATATGTAATATAAACTATTTCAACTAGTGGTTCAATAAATTAACCCCAATTAGAAGTATATTAATAATTAGTGATGCAAGACGTAGGTACTTTGCAGTATTGCTGTTATTTGCTGATGCTGAATAAAAATTTACAAGCAGTACCTATTATAGGCTATTATCATTATGATATACTACCTAGCTAGCTAAGCTAGGCCTACTATTAATTCAATAGCACTTGGCGGTTATATTGTGCCAGTTGTGGGCTTGTGGCTTTGCTATAATGCTATTTTCATTATTGAAGAATCAAAATTATAGGTAGGTAGGCTAGCTAGGCTACCTACCTTAAGGCTTATAAGATTTCAAACACATTTAAACAATGCAATTTTTGTGTTGCAACCAAATACCTACTTTAACCCTTTACTACTAAATTAGACTTTCAAGTTGCCTTTTAAAAAAACAATGGTTTTCTAAGAATTTCATGTTTTCTTTAATTTTTAAAAAAATTCACATAAACATAAAAGTCCTAGATTTATTTTTTACATATGTGTACCAAGTTTCAAAGTTATCTGTCTGTAAATAACTGAAATAAAATTTCCAATTTGCAATGCAAATTTCCAATTTCTTGTAGAAATTTTATTTTGGTTATTTACACTTTGAAACTTGGTACTGATGGTATACATATGAAAAAAAAATCTAGGATAAATGCGGTATATTCCAACACATTAAGGACGCATCAAGAAATGAAAAACTATAAATAAATAACTGTATGCGTTACTCGAGTTCTGTTTGCTTTATGTTACTCTCAAAACACCGCACTATGCGTCAGCAACAACAAAACATCACAAAATGTTGCCATATTTATTTAAAAGCCTTTAGAATACAAACCTACCAAATCCCTATATTCCGTCACTGTGTGTGGCTATATTTGGCATGTGGTGAGGCTATTCTGTCTGCGCTTCAAATTCTACTGATACGTAATGCGGCATGCCGTCATCCACGTGTTCGAATTCCGTTTGCTGTGTGAGCTGCATTGGAATACAACGTGGCTTTGAATTAAAACACTAATGAATATTGAACACTACTTAATTACGCTTTTAATTAACAACTATTAAGCTTTTAATTAAGCAAATTTTAATTTTTGTACACAGCTTGGAATGATCTGTGTGACGTGTGTGTCCAATTCAAGTCTAGTATGGAATATATCTACTTAGCGAGCCGCGACTGAATTTTTTGAGCCGTGGTTTTATGGATTTGCCAGCCGTGATTCCATTTCTACGAGCCGTGATTCTAGACGTCACCATTTCAACCATCAACGAACGCATGGAACTAAAACAAAGCTTAATATAAAGGAAAAACTAGAGAGGTGACGGAATTACCCACGATGTTGGAATATACCGCGTTTACCCCAAGACTTTTTTGTTCATGTGAATTTTTTGAAAAAATGAAAGAAAACATGAAATTCTTAGAAAACAGCTGAAAAAAAGGTACTGTAGAAATATATCTATGATTAATGGGTGGTTTTTCCAATCATCTGATAGGTAACTGGTGCAGAGTGGAATTCTATCAAGCGAGGTACTTTTGCCAGTCTGCCTTGAGCCGTCTGCCGTTGTTCTGGCTGCGTGGCACATTCTAATCTCTCACTAGTCACTATCGGCAGTAGCAGACGATTTTAAATTTGTATTTAAGGTTGTCAGAATTATTAGTGTCTTTTTGCATTATGAAGTGATCAAGATCTTTGTTTTCCTCATGGAATGGATCTTTTCTAAATGCTCTTTCATTTTAGCTAGTTTCATAGCATCATTGCTTTGTTTTTTTTTCACACACCAAATGCATGAGCCCTGTGAGTAGTGGTAGGTACTAAACCAAATTTCAAATACAGAGTGTAAACTTAACTTTTTTCTTAGCAATTACAAGAATTTGAAAGAAATATTTATGCAAAATGCAGTACAAGTTTTAAACAATACCATCAACCAGGGCTACTCAGGGCGGGCGGGGTAACTCGGGACAGTACTCCGACTAGAGATGCAAAAAAAAACGTTTTTTTTTTTTTTCAGAGTGTTTTTTTAGTAAAAAAACATTTTTTTATGTGTTTTTTTTTTTTTTGTTTTTTTATTGTTTTTTTCTTTCGTGTATTTATTTGGGATCAATATATCTATACCCTTAATATACATTGAAATGATGTGTTTTTAAATCTTATTTATAATTTGCATTTATTTATGTTTTTCTAAAAAAAAACAATAAAAAACATGTTTTTTTAGGCTGATGTTTTTTATTAAAAAAACTTGTTTTTTATTAAAAAAAACATGAGTGTTTTTTTTACGTCGCATCTCTAACTCCGACACAGCGTAAAACTGTTTTAGTAGCAAAACTAATTGGAATATTGCAAAACTAAATATAGTGGCGTAAATGTCAACATTTTTCCTATCTATGTAGCATACAGGAAGTTCAAAAATACTATATTTACTAGCTTTAACAAATTCCTGGATAAAATGGTAAAAGCAATATTTTGAAAAGCTACTTCTGTTAAGGTCTGTAGTAAAAAAAATATTCACCGTATTAAAAAATTTTACTTGCATAAAAGTTGCACACAGGTGTCGGCTTGAAAACGTAATCGACAGATTTTTCCTATCTCATTCCAAAAAATGGCGGTCATTTCCGAACAACGGGGCTACTCGGGACACCCCCAAAATGCATTTACAGTAGAACCTCAGTTAGCAAAGGCTCCAGTTAAGAAAAAAATTGATTAAAAACAAAGAATATTGATTACATTCACCTTGCTCAGTGAAAAGAATTTCACTTGTCAAAAAATTAGTGCATCATCAGTCATCACAAAATTGTGCATAGAATCTCGTATGTAGAATTGTGCACCAGGCATCATAGAATGAAAAGTAATTGACCTAAACTAAGATATATTTCTCCAAAACATATGATGGTTGTCACTAAAAAATTCCTTTCTGCTTCAGGTATGTTATTCATGATCTTTTATTTATAGTAAATTCACTCAACCCAATTAAAATTGTGTGAAATTACAAGCTGTCCTGTAAGCTTACAGATACAGAAAAAATGCTGTAAGGCTGCTGATATGGAGCTTGCAGTGGACAAGGTTGTTGTAAATGCTCAATGGCATGTTCATGGATACGGTAATATTGCATCAATAATACGGTAATTAATTGTATGGTAATATCATATCAATGAAGGAAAAACAAGTAAAAATCACAGAAAATGTCATTTATTCTACCCCTACATCATCTACAATGAAAGAGGACTTCAGAGTACAGTTAGTAATGGATGAGTACACTCTGCATGCTTCAAATGTTTTAAAATGAAGTTTTATTCCAAGTGTCCCGAGTAGCCCTGTTCTACGGGGCTACTCAGGACACTCTTTTTTTGCTTCTGGCACCTTATGAATAGCATATGGAATTTTTTTGGAGAAGTCATGTGATAGCCCTTGCAAAGAGCTTTGAAATGAGCCTAGAGCCTAAACTTGTTTACGAAATGTTTCATTGTAAGAAGTTATGAATGAAGAACATTCGAAATTATCCCGAGTAGCCCCGGTTGACGGTAATGCAACCAGCAAAGACTAGTGCAGATTTAATGAAAAATGGAAGATGCAAGCAATTAAGAGCAAATGAATTTGTAAGCCCTTACAATGGAGACTGAGACAATTTTTAATTAATTAAAAGCTTTTTAAGATTCATTCATAAAGGGTATAATAAAATTGTTAACTTCACAAAAAATTTTATTTACATTTTGTACTGAAATTATCCATTTTTTTGTTGAAGATTGAAATTTGATTAAATTTCTAATTTGCCCATCAAAAATATATCCAAAGTTTTTCAAAATCAATTCCATTGATAAACCCTTTTAGAAGTGTATCAATTAATTGATCCTAAGTTCTGTCTTTACCCTCAGAGGTGAGAGGTCTGATATTAGCCATTAAATCAATGGTTGTAATTATCACTTGTATGATTGTTATATGTATAGTAAAACCTCACATATTATATATGGAAAAGTTTATGTTGTTGCATAATATTTTTTGTACAATATTTTTGTTTATTCTATTATATATAGTTATGAAAGTGTATGAAAATTTTATTTTCATAAATATATTATGTTATGGGCCATGATGATGCAACATATTCTGCTTTTTTTTACTTACCAAGCTCAGCAAAATTTTCCTGCTTTCCAGTTATGTGTATCTGGTGTGTGTATGAAGTATGGGCATCCAACTTGCTTCCATGAAGAGATCGGAGTGCATATGAAGCAGGAGACGATATCCTCCTGCTGGTGATTTAACAAACCTTGCCCTGAATGAATGTTGGTGTAAATGTGTAGGAAGTGCTAGGGGTCTGCAGTGGTACCATCAACACAAGATAGGCTTTTAGGGTCTGGAAAGTTGGATGTTTTGTTGAGTTGTAATGATGAAATTTGGAGGATGTGTTGCTAATGAAACAGCTGTGGTTGTGCTCGGCCATGCTTGAGACGCTAGGGCTGTTTCATGCTGATGCCCTTTTTCTGACATTTTCCATGATTTATTGAGAATTAAAGAGTTTCATCCAAGAAAACCTTGCTTGCAAGTTGGATGTGAAAACTATATAAAATGATAGTTGGATTTTCTCCTTCAATTTTATTACCTGCATTGTTATTGTGTATGAAGGCTTGAAGCTCTGAAAGAATGTTTATTTGATTGCAGGCAAGACAAAGAGCAAAGCCAAGAGCAGGTCCAACCGCGCCGGTCTGCAGTTCCCAGTTGGGCGCATTCATCGGCTCCTGAAGAAGGGCAACTATGCTGACCGAGTGGGCGCAGGTGCCCCAGTGTACCTGGCTGCAGTCATGGAGTATCTTAGTGCTGAAATCCTTGAACTGGCTGGTCAGTAGAATCTTGTCTGTTTAGATTTGCTGCATTCTACAAATTACTGTCACTTAGTTGGTTTTTGAAGGCAATGACAGCAGGAGCCTTTTATATATGCCCACGGCAATATATTAACTTGCTGATTAAAAATGTTTGAAAGAGTTAACCTAGATGCGTGCCTTGACTACGAGATGATAGTTGCCATCAATGAAACACATAGCAATTATTTTGGCGTGCATATGATTCCCATTATCTTTTTCTGCATTTTATGTATTGACAACCGACATTCAGCATTTATGTCTTCTTGACTATTATCCTCTCAAGTTAGTGGTGGAAGGCAGATCTACTTCCTTTTATGATGATCGAGGGTTCTTTTCCAATTAGTCAGCCACAAAAAGTTGTGTAGGAAACCTTTCCCATGGTTGAATTCGCGTTTCTAAAAAGGAAATTGCATGTATTGGAGCTCGCATGTTCGAGGGTATAATTTGGTTTGAACTTATACAGGCAATGCGGCTCGGGATAACAAGAAGTCGCGCATCATCCCCCGTCATCTGCAGCTCGCCATCAGGAACGATGAGGAGCTCAACAAGCTCTTGTCTGGCGTCACCATTGCACAGGTAAGCCTTACTGTCAACTTGTCAAGGTGCTTCAGCGTACTGCGCAAGTACTCGTATAAATGGCGTCAGATGGCTTCAAGAAAAAAAATTAGTGTTACGAATTTTGCATCACAATTCAAACTATGGCGCCAGGTTTCTTAAAAAAGTAAAATGGCTGAAGTGATATACCTACATAGGTCTCCTAAGGATAAAATCCTGCCAGCTGGCACGCCTGACTAGAGTAAACGTTTTTGTTAGAGATAGAAACTGATAATGTGAAAACCTATCTAATGTAGTAATTGCAAAAAGGCAAAATTTGTAAAATGTCTTTCATTTAACCTGCTGTTATTTCCGTGGCCCAAAGTGTATTATATGTGGATTGTTGCAAAGGATGTCATCTCAATAACCTGATATGACGCAAAATATCATTTAAGGTACCTTATATATAAATATTTTTTTTCAGGGTGGTGTTCTGCCTAATATCCAAGCGGTGTTACTTCCTAAGAAGACGGAGACCAAATCCACAGTTGGCAAAGTAAAAAGTCAATCGCAAGAATACTAAGTGACAACGTTCGTGATTTTTGACGAGGTAAAATAGATTGTTAGGTTAAATGCTAGCGGGCATTGCGTTCAAATAAATGTTAGAATCCTTGAAGTTTCTATTGAACCTATATTTTTTCACGAAAAACTTCTGAAAGTATTTAGTTTGAAATTTACATATAAAAATAACAGCTTGCGACCAAGCTTGGTGTCCAACGCAGAATTGATAAGAAGTTTAGTCACGTTTATTATATATATTAAGGGCACTATCAGGAATACACAAGCTTCAAAAACTTCGAATTCGTCCTTGCCAGGCGCGACACAGTTTAACACTGTGCGCCCGTCACTTCAGACACCATAAACTCTCAGCTGCCAATCATGGCCGTCCACCAAGTGAATACTGTAATGCACACAATTTGTAACATCTAAATATCTGCTGGCTATGGGAACTACAGTATCCACCAGAAATAATCACAATTTCGTGGCTCTGTCAGCTAATCATTGACGGCTTTGAAAGCCGATTCCACCAATCGCAGACAAGAAATATTCCACAAAGTGCAGTTGAAACGGTACGTTTTGGAAGTATGGGACTGGAGCACTAATCCATCGCAAAAGCACGACCTGCCTGTAGATCAAATGACAAGCCCAGTGTACACCCAACCCTGTAGTAGGGTTATCGGTACACGGACGATATCTCTTGCTGTGGTAACTGAACTGGTCTGACATTTTGCCGCGGACAATACTACCCCCTGCTCGTTTTCTAATGACGATAACCCCCCGTACAACTAACAGTATTTATACCTTGAATCTTCAGAACACCATCTACGTTATAAGAGCACTAGGCCAGGAGCGGATGATATCCACTACAGGATGGTGGATCAGATGCACCTTACAGCGATTATTCACTAGCAATGACAGACAATAGCAATATTCAACAAAATGTAGCCTTCACGTTCATACGTAACACAATGGCGGACAGACAAGGTCTTCCTTAAACCCAGTAATCCCTCCTTAGGGTGCGTACACAGTGGAAGCAGGTTTGCCCGCGCGGGCAACCTGCTCCAACCTGCCACAAGAGTGAACATAGGATAATAATGTAAGTGTTCACAGTGAAAACCTGTACGAATAGGCTTCTGTATTCTATGGTTTCAGGCGCCAGCCTGAGCAGGTAACCAGCACGCTGGTAACCTGCTTTCACTGTGTGCGTACCCTTAGGAAGCATCCAGCTACCGACCTATAGCACTGACTACATATGTGGAAGATTCCGCAGAAAATACTAAAATAAAGACTTTTCTTAACACCTAGAAGTGCGAATTTTTCATGTACAATACGGCTTCCCATCTCGTTAAGGCACAATAAAGGGACTCAGACTGTAGAACCACGTTGTTTATAGGAAAACTCACGATATGCGTTTTTCATTGGCAGGCGAAAGCTTTTCATACTACGTAGCGACACTTAATCCTACAAGCCTTCCAGAACAGTTGAAACCTTGCAAGCCTTCTACAACAGTTTAATCAGAAGCAATATGGCGAAATTCATCAAAGAATTTCTACATCGTTTTTTTTTACAGTGAAAGTGTGATATCCTTTCACCCTTGCAGAGGCAAAACCAACGAGCGCACAAGATATCGCGAAAAGCTGCACGCTCTTCTCGTAAGCAATAAACGATATTACCTCAGCTTCAAAATTGAAAGAACAATCGCCCCTATATGTGGATGTGGAAATATGTGTATATATGTGGAAAATACGGCCTCTCACAAACAATCAGAGGCCAACAACGCACGGATTCTTGTTTCCTAGCGAAAACAAAGACTTGTGAATCTCCAACACGGCCGCCACCCATCTGTCACTACTAAGACCAATTGCCCTAACTCTAGAAGTTAAATTCTTCGAAATGACGTTTCACTGTAAACTCACATGGAAACCTCACATGCAACTGTGAAAAGTAGATACCAAAAGAGAATGAGCCAGTTGAGATACGTGGCCAGGTTGAGGGGAGCTGACCGATTAACCCTGCTCCGCTTTTACTGAGCTAGAATAAGATCCAAGTTTAAACTACAGATGTATACTATACCATTAAGTCATAGGAGTAACCTCATCCCTATCGGTTCCAATCCATAACACAGCTATAAGGATATGAACCGGAGTCTTCAGAACATCACCTGTCATCAGGTTATAAGCTCGGTGCGGTGAACCGCATCTCTAACTACGTGGAGCACAACGTGTGCTCTAATTATTAGCCCGCCTCGAATAACTACTACAATCCCCAACATGGCGCAGCGTTTTGGCCAGTGATCAAGCAAATTTACTCAGTAGACTGAATAGACTAAAGACTAGACTTCTATGTGAAGACTATAGATGCCACACATACGAGTGGTACCTGTTAACCTCAACGGGACGCCGACGTCGCAAGTAGCCATTGATTTTTTTTTTCAACCAAAATCAAGTTCAAAGTCGCGACTACTAACACAACATCCCCACCAGAAATGTAGAAATTGTCAGCAACTCGCCACCATCGCTCGAGCGGACCAGATCACAAGTCTGTCAGCACCTGAGGACTACGGCACCAAACAACTGCAAGCTACACCACCGGCGTGAAATAGATCACTTCCGCAATCGCTAGAAGTCCACTACGTACTTCTAATATCCAATCACCAGTTCTGCAATAAGCAAGCAGAATAAATGCTTTTAAAACGCAATTTGACCTACTATACAATGGCAAGTACTTTGTTCTATTGCACTCAGTCAAACAAAAATCAAATAAATCTACATATACTTGAAACGTTTGTAACGGCAAATAATTTACTTTGAAAAACTGCACACCACTAAGAACAAATGAAAGCAAGTTGTTGGAAAGCAAATCTGTAACGACACTTCTTGATGCTACGGCTTCACAACTGAAAGATACATTACAACTTAGCGATTATAGATCGGGAATTAATCATAGAATAAACTGGCCAGTGGATATCTTATGACAAAAGCAAGTGCTGAGCCACAGGCCTGCAGAGCTAGTAACGTCCAGACTAGAGTTCGCTCGTGCATCGGGCCGCTCCACACCAGCACTAGGTTGATCAGGGTCAGGTTGTTGACGGTGATGGTGGTCTCACCGTCGTGCTTGGCGTCTTTCTCTGTAACTTCGGCCGCCATCAGTCGCAGGGCAGACAGTAGGCATATTGTTCTGTGAAGGATATACTTTCTTAGAGGCTTTTGATCCGCTGCCACACCAGTTATTGAGCGTTTCACTTGTTTGCATCAAAACGTATTTTTTTTTAACCAGCAGATAGAAATCTTGACGCTGGCCATTTTTTCTCGATTCAAGTTTGCATGTGCTATCTCTGAATAACAAAAATGTCGCATACAAAAGTAACTGATCAATAATGACAGTTTTAATCGTAGATGTTGATCGTAGTTTTGAAAAGATACTCGGATAATGTACCAATTCTGACTAAAAATTCGATTGGTAGTGATGGAATTATATTCAAAACAAAAAGGAGGACTATTTCGCGGAGTCCTAATGGCAGTCACTACATTAAATTAAACTGAATAGTCTTGAGAGGATGATTGTGCACACACCTGTACACGAGGGGATTAAGCGACTTCACTCGCACAGTTGTCCTGCTGTACTCCAGCTTGTCGAGCTCAGCGTTGTATCTGTGAACAAGCAATGAGTGTTCATAACAGGCAGTTGTTTATGCGTGAATAACATAAACAATATATAAGTCTACTAAACGTGGAAAATGCTAAACCCGCAGAGCAAATATTATGGCACTAGAAATGAAAAAATTTGGCCATTATTATAAGCTTAGTTTGCAATGAAAAGCTCCAAAAGACCTCGAGCAATGCATAAGTGATGCGTCGTAGCCACGCTTACTGCGGCAAGCGATGCCTGGGACATGGAATGACCCTGAAGAGTTGAGGCAAACTGTAGGCGAAGTTAACGAGCTGCGGGATGAAGAAGAGCATCACAGTCTTGCTGAAGTGGCCCAGGATCCCCACCACCGCGAACGTCATTCCTGCGAAATACGTGAACGTGTCGCCAACGAACGCTCGGGCGGGGTACCTGATCATTTAAACAAAATATATTACACTTTTGTATGCTTGAAGGCTGGTGCTATAAATATAGAGGGGCTATTGGCGTGCATATCGCCAATAGCTATCCAGTATGTCGGTATATTAACGAGGCTCAAAATATTTTTGCTTTGTGCAGTCGGCAAACGTAGCAAATTGGAGAAAATAAATATAGGAAAGAGATATTCATTTTGGTAAGTATATATTTAATATGTAAGTAAAAACCGTGTCTCCGTTTCAATTCTAGACGTAAGTTTTATGTGAGTTCTGTGTTATGCATTACTTGAACGAATCTTCCAGAAAATTACATCCCTCTAGTTCGAAAATTTACGACGTGATCGAGATTCTTAAATCTCCGGGATTAACTTTCTGTTGTGAGGGATAGGATTATCGATCACCTGACTGCTCACCATCTCATATCAGATTGTCAACATGGTTTTATTGCCGGCAGATCCTGCACCACTAACTTATTATCTACGTTGAACGATTGGACTCGCCTGAGGACAAGAATCGGCGACAGGTCACATCAGGCCTACACTTCAGAGCCGACATCACTATGTTATGTTATGTTTAAAAGGCAGGTGAAGATGCTAACCAATGATACGTTTCAGAATGTAGGTGTGTGTGTAGACCGGCGTTCGAAATATATAGGGGTTATTCGTGCGTGTATCCTCAATACCTATCTTGTCGGTACCTAGGACTGATTTGATATTTCTAATGGCGGAATAAGAAGGCATTACAAAACGGGGCAAGTGGATTTTTAAACAAATTTGAATTACTGTTTCAATCGATTGAATATTACTTTTAAAAACTATTTCCTCCGAGCTTCCAAAGGGAAAAAGAGAATTTCAAGTAAAATGCGGGTTTGAACGAGTCTTAGTTTAGATTAAATTGTTAGTAAGGAAATTATTAGCGGGATTCCCCTGGAAAACATCCAGTTTTAACCTGCTAGTACAAATTTTAACTACATGGATTTGATGACAATTGTTGCCTCGTGAGAGATTTCTTGCCAATAAATATTCATGACAAAATTAATTTGTATCGTGAATGAGAAGTGCTCATTTGAGCCATATTTATCAACCGGCAAAAAATACTGCAGTTTTAGCTCCTGGTGCAATGCATAGCAGGGGCCATACTTTCAAAATTCGCTAAGTGAACGTAAGTACTTACGCTCTAATTTCTTGTCTATGATTGGTGAATTTTGCTTGAAAGGCCGTCAATGATTGGCTAATGAATTTAAGATCTCTTAACTTTTTTAGAAAGTATAGGTCCAGATGAACAAGATAAACGTAGAGAATACACAGCAAATTTCTAGTTCGGTACAGCGGAAAATATCAGTCCAGTTACTCAAAAGGATATGATGAAATTATTCTATGCAGGGAGACAATGACAGCTCCCTTACTTGTTATGAAGGAAGAGCGCAAAGGAAGTGGCGATAAAAGGCATCAGAAGGCAGAGCGAGAGGTGATGAGCACTGCTGTGGAAGCCCTTAAGTTCCACTAAGTTGAACACTGCAATGCTTGTCGCCATAACGACGCTCTGCCCCACTTCCAGACCGTTGACGCCTGCGTAGATGTTGATGGCATTCGTCGAGAACACGGCCAGCAGCGACATGTACAGGTAGTACAGGACACCTGCAGTTAACAGGCTCCGTATCAATGGCAATAAAAACAAGTAAAAAAAGTCAGGCCCACAGCTGAATAGACCTAAAAGAAACTGAACCTCGCATATTCGCGTCTCGCAAAATTGTTTAACCCGCGTGTGCGGGACCATTTGGCAGTGTACTCACGTGCTACTTGCTAGACCAGCTTACATTGGTTGTTTTCGTAAAACATATAAACTAAAATTTCAGGGCATGCGGTCTTATTTAATCATTCAAATGCTAAGTTATAAGCCCATTAATGAGGTAGCAAGTATTATTTAATTTGTACAGCTCAAGTGAGGCACAATAATCCCACGATAAAGTTCAGAATTAACCGCAATATAACGTATCTCGGTATTATACTTGTCTATAATTGAAGATCTATCATAGAAAGATATGAAGATCTATCTTGTCTTGGGAGTTAACTAGGAAGTAAAATTACCTTAAGTAATTAAAAGGATAAATTTGATAGCTTCACACGAAACATATTAAATTCATGTTGAAGATTGGAACAAGGAAGCATATGGAAATTAGGTGTATGTGTGTGTGTGTGTGGTTCCAAATGAGAGGCAAAACAGAATGGCCAGAAAGATAAAGAAATAGAAAAACAAGGAAAAAATTAAACAGTCGCTATGCGCATAATCAGGTTCCAGGAAGATTTTTGAAATATCTTTAGGATATATAAGGGGATCCATAAGGGCTTTGGACGGTTTTCACGTGGGAGAGTGAATTTTGGAACCTACACTTCCGAGTACTACTATTATAAAAATATCATTATAGTTAGTAATTAGTAGGATGATTTGATGGATGAATGTGGTGATGAAATGATAATGATGCTGAAGATGTTAAGTTGCTTGTGAGTCATACTTTGTATCTGTCGCTACGTAAACGTATTGAAAGGATCCACTATCCAGCAACTGCACTCAAGCGCGTTCTTTTAAAAAATCAACACCCACGCGCAGATAGCACGTGGTGCGTGTAGGTGGTTATGGTGGTATGGGGTTGGTGGTTACGTGTACAGGGGTGGAGGTGGGAGGCCTAGTACGAGTGATTTTGCACCTAGGATGGGTATCATTTTAAAAATATTGGCGCTGGTTCTAATGAGACATTTATTTTCAAATAAATTCATCTCTTGGATAGCGTGTTGTGTTTGTTTTGCAGATAATTTGAGTGAGTATTGTACGACAGTTCCTTCTGTGATGTCGTCTGCAAATGCTATATAGTCTGTGTTGGGGAGTGATTGGGGATATAGAAGTTGTACAGAGTGGGTGAGACTCAAGCACCTTGTGGGGCACCAGAGTGCAGTTGGAGTGGGGACCTATGTATGTAACTGCCAATTCTGATGGATGCTGTTCTTGATTAGAGCGTCGGAAATTCTGACTTAAAATTATATTATATTTTATAAAACGCAGTCTGTGGGTGAATTAATTCGTAAAGTGAGTTATGAAAGTTAGAGACTTGGAGTAAAGTGTTGAGAAGGCTACAGGAATATGGGGTGGAACTGTGTAAAGCTTGTATAAGGTGCTGTTGTTCTCGAGACCGGGAGAGCGAGGGTTGTTTATAGTTTGAAACGGCGAGGGTATCAAAGGTGCTGACCTTGTGGAACTCACAACCGTCACGGCGTCACTTCGAGGGTATAGGCTTAACTGTGCGCGAGACTAGCGTATATAAGGACCTTAAAATTCGCGCCAAGGGTTGGTTCTACGAAAGTCACGGTCACGAGCACAGTCTGCAGCGGACTTTGCAAACGGCTGCGGCCGTGAGGCCAGCGGTTGGTCGTTTTCGAACATTGACGGTCGCGACTCGCGAGAAACCTAGACTTATCGAGGCAGCCAAGAGTCCGGTGAGCACGTCAAGAAAATCAACATCAACACTACGGCTGCGACAAAGCCGTGAGACAATGCGAGAGAGCCACGAGTTGTACAACGATTATAACGCACGTCATCAGAAGATCTAAGTTTCGAGCTCTACACCAAGAATTATCATCGGTACCGTCATCACTAGTACGGTCACTATTTCCATCAGAAGAAGCGGTACGGTCACAGTCATCTCGACCGCAGTACGACAACGGAGTTGGAGTATTTTCATCGACTATGAAGACGAGCACCACTATTCCGAAGTACGGTCATCATAAACTCTACGGTTATACCGGCCGCGAGACATCACTATAGCGCGGGAAATACGGCCAGGAAGAGAGACGCGCGGCAACAGCTGCAGTACCCGGGTACGGCCACTTGGAATACGGCTGCAACGCGCGGTGACAGCCGCGGTACGGTCGCTCAACATACGGCCGTACGGTCGTTTACAACAGTCGTACGGCTCAACGGAACTGCAATGTATCAACAATTTCTGGTAAAATTAGATGATTTGTATGATGTACACTGATAGGTTTTGGACTTTTGATTGTGACGGATTACATTTTTCAAGTACTAGAGATTTTTGTTAACGTAGGATGTGAACCTAAATTTTCCAATTTAATGTGAAATGTATCAGTGTTTCATTACAACCCTCTCTTAGTACTATTTGGCCGTAACCTTTCCAAAAAGAGAACCTTTTCATACGTGCCAATCAAGCCCACTCAGCGACCACCTGACAAAACGATAAGTAACGAATACCGGTATCTTGAACCTGAACGTAAAGTAAAATTGGTGGAGTAATCACTCCGAGCGTCCAAGCGTCCAACCTTAAAATATATGAGACGATATGAAACTACAACTACGTAAACTACCATTAGATATATATTTTTCAAATTTAATCATTCTTACTGTGAGGTAGCCTGACAATGTTTTGGTGGAAGACAGGTGTAGATCGAGTGGTATTTATTTTATTGAAGTCAGGGGTGCCATACATTGTCGAAGGGTTTTGTCACATTGTGGAGTACTGTGTCTGCGAGGAGTCCTTGTGCTAAAAGTACAGCAAGTGTTCCGTGAAATGAGGCTAATGCTGTTTGTGTCTCTCTGTGTTGCCTAAAACCGTGGAATCTACGGTAGTGTTTTGTATGTTGCAAATAACGAGATGCTTATGTAATTTGTAGCAAAGAATTTTGGGTAAGAGCTTTCCGTGTACAGTATGTCTAACAGTGAAATCGGTCTGTAGTTTTGGACTTGGCGTTTTGACGTGTTGGGTTTAGGGAGGAAGATCTTTATGGTGTGTTTCAGTAAGTCTCCAGCTTTTGGGAGGCTTGGGTGAGGAACGGTACCATCGTTTAGTATGCGTTGGGCGATTATTGTATCTGGTTATGATCTGACAAAGTGTTTTAATTCGATTTCCGATTTTAATTCATTTGCAGTGTGGCTTCATATGTCCGTGTCCAAATTGTCGTGCAAAAATAGCCAGTCTAGCTTTAAGGTTGGGCATGTGGAGGTAGGGAACCTAGTGCAAGTCAAATGGCTGTCAAATTAATTTTGTTAAGTGCTTCAGTTGCTACCATAGATTTCAGTTTATCAATTGCAGTGGAGTCATCTATCATGGCGTAGAGACCAGGAGCAGTGTCAGTGTCTGATTAGTGGAGCGTCAAGTTCTTTATAAAGAGTGTGGAAAAGTTTAGGTCGATCAGTCGGTAGTCAGGGATCATTTTCTTTTTAGTTAGTAGGGTTCTGAGCGGTCGTGTGGTGAGGGGTCGATGATTGGGTGCTGATGAAGGTGGGATGATAATGATGATAAACGAGATTTCGGAGGAGGTTTGTGTCCTTAGCCCACCAAGACGAGCTTATTCATCAGGCTTGGAGAGTGAGGTGGAGACATGAGAACGGAGGGAGGGGAGGGGAGAAGAAATCCAAGTATATGATAATGATGCAGCAGTATAGTGCAGAAAAATGCAGTGTACAGAAGAACTAAAAATAATAAGTCACAATTCCTTAGTGACATGCACTTCGTTCTGGAATGCTGCTAATGTGTGAGCACAAGTACGGGGAACACTAGAACCACTTCACTAGCCACAAAAGGCCATGGAGACTTTGATATTAACAAATTGATTATTGAAGCCAAACTGACCGATGTTGAGGCTGGGACCCAGTAAAGGCCGTAGCAGCAGAGGCACAACGACGGTCGTGGAGCCAAACTTGACGTAGTGAGTCATCAGCAGTGGCAACGATGCCAAGGTTGGCAGCACCAGTTTATACCTCATTACATACAGAAAACCAAATCACAACCCAGTTCAAATCATAAATTAAAAAATAGATAAAATGCAACCAAACACTTTGATTCAATGGTTTGTAAAAATCATGAAAATACACAGAAGAAATATCAAACAAATAATTTTATGTGCTGGCAGGCAAATCTCAAGAGTACATCAACAAAACTTCTATGTGAATATTATCAATAACACACTACATGGAAATTATTAATTATTTACCTCCATTTCAAGTTGAGCACGTCATCAGCAAAGCCTAAGAGGAGCATGCAGCAGATGCACAGCAGTGCAGTCAGTAGCTGCTCAAAAACCATGTGAGGAAAGTTCTTCTCACTGGCGAGAACATGTCTGCTGAACTGAATTCCAGTGAACAGAAACATGACCTGCACAAGATGAACAATGTTTAACCATGGGTTTGGCTTTAAAACCCCCGAAAAACCCTTATTCTGTGGTTTTTTAATACTATTGCAGTTTAGTTCTTAAATTTTGGTCAATTTTTCATGCATCATCTCACTCTTGTTGAAAATGAAAATTAATGATCCCACACAATTTACATTATATTTCAAATAAAAATATGCTAACATCATTGGATTAAAGCTTTCAGCAATGGTGATGCTAGTTCAATACACCCACAGCATTATTTCTGTGAACCAAAGTTTAGTTTAGTTAGTTAATTTAGTGGACAAATGTTTACTAGTTTTAATAGTGCTTCAGCTATTTAGCTATCTTTCACCGAAAGTCAGGATAAATATCACCAAAGAGGTGGAAGGTCTCAGTTATCAGAAGATTCTCAAATAAAAAATTGTTCATCACCCGTAAGGGGCAGAAGGTCTCCCTTGTCCAGCCCGCTGAAGCTGGCTTGAAGGAAGCAGCGTTAGCATCTCAAAGAAACTAAATGACAAGGGAAGATAGTCAAAAAGCAACAGAAACAAAGACTCTCAAACAAGAGGTTGCTTACACGAGACATATGAACCAAAACTTGCCATCAAGAAGACAGTGCCACTTATCATTCCCATAGACTCTGGGATGAGAGTTTTTGTATTTTTCTTGCAAAGGTCATAGCCTGAGAGTCCAGCCTGGATGAAAGTTCCTCCTGATGCTGATATAGCTTTATGCACAGCAAAGCCTCCAGCAGTAGAGAGGAGAGCTGAGACAACCAGGGCTATGCTGCCCTCACCTGCAAATACAAAATTGATTAATCCTCAGAATTTCTGAATAATTCAACAGAATGAATGATTACTTTATTCATAATTATAGTGTGAATGATTAATGATTAGTATTTTATTAAATAATTACAGCCAGAGCCTTATCCCTCACTTGGTCCAAAGTATAATTCATAATTATTAAGCTCACATTGATAATGAAAATTAAATAAAATATGAGATTAATGTCATATAATTCATATATTCTTACCCACGTGAGATGTATCCATGCCTAGAAATAATTTGGATTTGATTTGCCAAATATGAAGTAGGGAGCCTCCGAGCCTTACAGGCACTTGGGAGTTGGACAAACTTTGCAAGTAAAGTATAAAGTATTCAAACTATTGTCTTGACACTCACTCAGCCAGTTTTATTTAATTTTAAATTGTCAATTGAATGCTTCTCTTTTAAAAACATCCTTGCAAGGATTGCAAAATTTTGATCACTATGAAACAATAATTAAGAGAATGGGAACTTTTAAAGTATAGTCTGAAATGAAGTGCAAAAATAGGCTTAGTTCTTATTTGAAATTAAAAAATACCTTCAACTCTAAAAAGTTGTATTTCTGTTATCTGTTGTATTTCTGTTATTTATCTCAATTTGAATCATTTGTTTTTATTACAGATTGTCAGATTGAAAACTGTGCTCTGCTGTATAGCAATGGTTTGATGTACAATTTTGGGCCAAGATTCATAAAATGCCAAAAACCAAACAAAAAATAACTCACAATGCAGAACCTGCAGAAGTTTAAATGAATAAAATGAGGCACATGTGGTGAGAGCCAAGAGGGCTATAGTAAGTGGCTGTCTTGAGTGGCAAGTGTCATGCCCAAATGAAAAAAAAAAAAATCCTGGCAATGTACAATATTTTGATACGAGTCCATAGAACTGCACCACCCAGATTAAGCCAAATTTTGCCCATGTTCTGAACGATGAGAAGTGTATCAGCCCTTTCTAAATGTGCTAAAGTTGAGGTAAAAAAAGAGATTATCAGATAAGTTCAATAAGCACCACACAGCTGTATATGTTCAATGTCTAATGCTGCACCAGAAGAAGCAGCAGCTGTGGCTGCATTATTGTATCTTTGTACTGCACTGCTATATACTATACCATCAAACGAGGTAATAAGGGATGGGTGGGGTAAATCAGGACAGTCATCCCACACTTTGTAGCAATGTTGTAGCAGCTAAACTAATCAATATATTGCAAAACTAAAAATGATGGCTTAAAGTTCAACATTTTTACTTTCTATGAAGCATAGAGAAAGATAAGAAATCATACATTTACTACATCTAAAAAATCAATTCCTGAAAAAAATGTGAAAAGTAAGATTTTGGATAAGTACCTCTGCTAGGTCAGTAGGTAGCAAAAAAAATATTTGCCGTACTAAAAAATTTTACTTACATAAAAGTTGCATACAGGTGTTGGCTTGAAAATGTGATTGACAGAATTTGTGTATCTAATTAAAAAAATTTGCAGCAATTTCCGCAATTTCTGGTAATATGGGACACCCCTAAAAACACATATACAGTAGAACCTTGATTAGAAAAGGCTTCAGTTAACTAAAAAATAAATTAACAACAATAAATTTTGATTGTACATTATAGTCAGATGGGGTAAGACAGGACCGAAATCACTAACAAGCCTGTAGCATCTATACCATGAATAACTAAAAAACCCTAAACCTATCACAAGGTAACAAACACTGAAATGACAGGCAATGATTGCTCTAACATATTCTTTTGTCATATTGAATTCAGTGCAATTAGAATGCACGCCATGGGCTGGTCCTTTCTTACCCCATGAAGGCTGCGATCCTGTCTTACCCCATTTGACTATATACCTCGATCAGCAAAAAAAATTTCTCCAAACAAAAAATTAATGCATCATTGGTCATCACAAAATTGTCAGAGAATGTCATAGAATTGTGCACCAGGCAACATAGAAGAATGAAAAGTAATTAACCTAAACTATGATTTATTCCTCCAAAAAATATGATGGTTGTCACTAAAATATTCCTTTCTATTTCAGGTATATATGTTTTTTATGATCTTTTTTCTTATAGTGAATAAACTTGAAACAATTAAAATGGCGTGAAATTACAAGCCATCCTGTAAGCTTACAGATAGAGAAAAAATGCTAGAAGGCTGTTGATATGAAGCTTGCAGTGGAAAAGGTTGTTGTAAATGCTAAATGGCATGTTCATATAAATGGTAACATCACATCAATAATAAGGTAATATATGGATATGGCAATATCATATCAATAAAGGAAAAACAAGTAAAAATCAAAGAAAATGCCAGTTATTCTACATCATCTACAAAGGAAGAGGACTTCAGAGTTCAGAACTCTGTTAGTAATGGATGAGTACACTCTACATGCTTCAAACAGTTCATTGCAGGCAGAGCAACTAGAGTTGTTTTGAAGCAGTCTAGTCTAGCAATGCAGCTGTACTCAGTAATCAGTATGATGGCTGCGGCCGAGCCACTACTGAGTACAGCTGCATCGCACTCTCTCTTGCACATGTTCCCACTGGAGCGCACACTGCTGTCAAGCTCTTGCATGCCTCCACCATGCACACCCTTCCTCGACAACTCCCTCACAACACTGACGCAGGCGCAGTCTACCAAAAACACTTTACTTTTCTGTAAGGTGCTTGTATACAGGGATAGTGCAGACAGCTAGTAAACCTGGCAAGTGTTGGTTGCAGGCTAGTAAGCCTGTACATGAGATGAGTATAAGGTACCGCTATCAGGCTATCTTCTTGCTCGCACCCGCCAGTGTGTTGTTAGCAGCCGTTGAGGGTATTACTTTAGATTAATTGCATCCAAAAAAATGGTGTTTTTTTAATTATATCTTTTTTTGGGTGTAGATTAAGAATCTGAAATCCGTTTTTGGCGGTCGGCATCGGAATTTTTTAATGGAACCTGTTCCTCACTGGACCTAACCTGCGAGGTTTTCGTTGATTGACTAGGTTTTTCTGGCCACCAGACGGACTCTAAACATAGAAAAAACCTATTGGCTAGGTTTTTCCGGCTGCCGGATGGACTCCAAACATAGAAAAAACCTTGCCGATCAACGAAAACCTTGCAGGTTAGATCCAGTTAGGAACAGGTTCCATTAAAAAAATTCCGATGCCGACCGCCAAAAACGGATTTCAGATTTTTAATCTACACCCCAAAAAACATATAATTAAAAAAAAAAACACTTTTTTTTGGGTGCACTTAATCTAAAGTAGTAATACAGTTTTTTGAGCTGTAGATGAAGAATCTGAAATCCGTTTTTGGCGGTCGGCATTTTTTTTAGATTTTCTATAGAAAACGAACCTAACCTAACCTAACGCTCTAACCTCCCTAGGATTTTTGGGTTTTACATAGGTTTACAGACTGGAAATGATCTATATCAATCTGGGAATGACTGTAAACCTATGTAAAACCAAAAAATTGCACTAGGTTAGGTTAGGTTAGGAAGTTAGGTTCGTTTTCTATAGAAATATATATATAAAAAATGCCAACTGCCAAAAACCGATTTCAGATTCTTAATCTACACTAAAAAAAAGGGAAAATTAAAAAAAACACCTTTTTTTGGATGCACTTAATCTAAAGTATTACCACCATTGAGTGAGGTTTGAGAAGATGGATCAAGGGATCACCTTCAACCATAGTGGCAAAGCAGAGAGTTTTTTTAGTCAGCACGTGTTAATATATATTAAGTTCAGCACGTGTTAATATACAGTCTGACCGCTTTGACATGACCGCAACTATGCGCGATCTTCAACAAACGTTTTGTTTATTTGTTTACATTACGATGTTTATGTTTTTTCTGAATTAGAGCCGCGATATTTCAGACAAAAATAGGACTTTTCCAGACTAAATTAGAGCCGCGATATTTCAGACAAAAATAGGACTTTTCCAGACGGAGGAGCCAAGGGAGGATACCTACCTCCCATTTAATAAATGGGAGGTAGGTATCCTCCCTTGGCTCCTGAGTCCTGGGAGTGGGAGGCAGTTTAGATTATTAATCAAGGTAAACTGATAAAGGAAACAATAATTTGCGGCCAGTTTGAATTAACAAACAACACCGATTGTAAGACGGCCCATTTTGTGTCTAAAAAAGAAGCTAAACCTCTCACTGTGACCTCTCGATTGAAACTGGTGGCGGACTGGCGGTAATACCGGTGTCCACTGTCCAGTAAACGTACAGCCACATGTCTTTCCGACAACAGAACACGTAACAGAATCCGGTTGGTTCAGTCACTTCGAGATCAATAAGTGTTGGGTCACTGGGGTCATGGTTGAACTATACCTAGTTCAACCATGGGTTCAGTCACAAGCCTAACAATCTTGCAAAATTAAGTTTAAAGTAGCGTTTCTTTGAAATCTTGACTATCGGATTTTAAAACCCCAAATTGGTTCAAACGATTCTTTTGATTGTTATATAAATATATTCATTGGTTAGCTTGGAGCACCGTGTAGTGTTTTTTTACGGATGATATATTATTTAGCTATAACGGAATTTACGGAAGCACAATCGCAAAATTTTTCCGTAGCAAGATCCGTACCTATTATTTTATATTTTTGATGTATTTACGTACGTAAAAAATTAGACAGCATATTGATCATATTGAAAATAAATTTTAGTTAGGTTTCTTTGGTGCGGGGCTGCCGTTCAGTAAGAGCACACTCCTAGATACTTTCCTCTGGCCCTATATCTAAATGGAAAGTACTTGCCGGTAATACTAATGACTAATACTTTTCCCGTGTTCATGTATATGTCATTTTTAATTCCAGACGTGCATAGATTAAGATAGATAGCTAAAAGCCTAAAAGTTACCATTTAGTAGTAAACTACGTGAAAACGAACAGGACAAACACATTGTGACAACGCTTGCAGAAGTGAATTGTTATTCAATAGCTTCGTACCAAATTCGGCTTTAATTTGACAAAGTTGTGCGTGGAAAACCTGCTATGGAAATTCATTACAAAAATTCGTCCAAAACAAAAGTGTCCGTGTCATGGTAGTTCAACCATGGCACTTGCTCATGTCATTCTGGTCCTCGTCATGTGAAATGATGAAAAAGATATTGTTCTTAACGAATATAAAGCAGAAAGCGCAGATTGACCATAAGTAAAGAGAAAAAAATTAATTAAATTATCGATGAATTACTAATTGATACGTTCGTTTGAACTTTGAAGGAAATATCGTCACATTTTGTGGGTCGACTATAAAACGTTATTAACTATAACGTTGTAGGGTCAACTATAAAACGTTATTTTTACCATGCGTTTATGAGTGACTGAAGTATTCAATTGGTAATACTTTAGATTAAGTGCATCCAAAAAAGGGTGTTTTTTTTAATTATATGTTTTTTTTGGAGTGTAGATAAAGGATCTGAAATCCGCTTTTGGCGGTCGGCATCGGAAAACCGATTTTTTTTTATATTTTCTATAGAAAACGATCGATCTGGGAATGAACCTAACCTAACCTAACCTAAACTCGTTTTATAACAGGAAGGTAAGTTTGAACGCGTTCTATTTGAGAATATATTTGTTTGTTCTCTACGCCTCACACAGCCCGAGTAAAAATGAAGATAAAATGCAAGTTAAATCATGGACGTAAAACCCGTGGATTTATAGCGTTTTCAACTTAGCCTCGGTGACCCATATACTCTTGTGGTTGTTTCTTAAATATTTATACGAAATATATGCCGACCGCCAAAAAAGAATTTCGGATTCTTTATCTACACACCAAAAAACATATAATAAAAAAACACCCTTTTTTGGATGCACTTAATCTAAAGTAATACCATTTAATTAAATGTAAGATTCATTTAGAGGCGATGCTCAAGAATTAACATTGATTACAAATAGTTCTGTGTTAAACTTAGGTTCCTACGACGTGTTTACCTGTGATTATGGGGAGTTAGGTAAAGATAACCCTGAACAAACCTGGGAATATAAATTGTTTCACAAACTTTTAGAAAAGTATCATTTGGAAAGTGAAGCTTACACCACGAGTGCTACAAGTAGGGCCCGTCATAATGGCACTTGCTTGGCTGCTAATCGGGGCCTGTTATGACGGCACTTGCGGGCTGCCAAGTGGGGCCCGTCATGACGGCACTTGAAAGCTGCCAAGTGGGGCCTGTCATGACGGCACTTGCGGGCTGCCAAGTGGGGCCTGTTATGACGGCACTTGCGGGCTGCCAAGTGGGGCCTGTCATTACGGCACTTGCGGGCTGCCAAGTGGGCCTGTCATGACGGCACTTGCGGGCTGCCAAGTGGGGCCTGTCATGACGGCACTTGCGGGCTGCCAAGTGGGGCCTGTCATGACGGCACTTGCGGGCTGCCAAGTGGGGCCTGTCATGACGGCACTTGCAGGCTGCCAAGTGGGGCCCGTCATGACGGCACTTGCAGGCTGCCAAGTGGGGCCTGTCATGACGGCACTTGCAGGCTGCCAAGTATGGCCTGTCATGACGGCACTTGCAGGCTGCCAAGTATGGCCTGTCATGACGGCACTTGCAGGCTGCCAAGTGGGGCCTGTCATGACGGCACTTGCAGGCTGCCAAGTGGGGCCTGTCATGACGGCACTTGCGGGCTGCCAAGCGGGGCCTGTTATGACGGCACTTGCGGGCTGCCAAGTGGGCCTGTCATGACGGCACTTGCGGGCTGCCAAGCGGGGCCTGTTATGACGGCACTTGCGGGCTGCCAAGACGTAGCTTCAACGATTGTCATGACGTAGCTTCAACGATTTAATTTTACCAATACGAGTAAATTATTCAATACGTTTTTCATCATTACAATCATTTACGTCTACGACGCACCATTGTTTTCTTTATGAATTTGAACAGCTGCTTATGATGAAAAACGATGAAATATCAATTAGAACTTCTGCTGGATGTGTTTTATAAATGAAATACATCCTGAAAACTTTCTGATGCTACATAAGAATTCTCTTTAATTAAATCCAGAGGATGAATCTGTTTCATTGTAGAATTAGGGCACTAATTGTTGGGGGCGATTATTGTGTAATTGACTGTGGCAGTTAGATCAACTGATGAAGTTTGTGTCATACGAGAGACGGGTTGGTTTTCAATCTGAGCTTCCAAAAAATGCATTTCGTTGAAATGTAAAAATGCAATGGAACGTAAAAATGCATTTAATTTAATCCGGTTAACCTGCTTTTTCGGCGAATTTTTTCTAGGAAAAAATTGACGGATCATTTATTCGCCGGGTGGCGAATAAATGCCGAAAAGCGGGCGAATAAATGCGAATAAATTCGCATCTATTCGCCCGAATAATTCGCATGCGAATAAATAAATGGCGAATAAATTCGCCGAAACCATCCGCCAAAAAGCGGGTGGTTAGCAATGAGAATAGCGAGATCAAATCTGACCAAGTGGAGTGCTCCAGGGGAGCTGCGGTCGATTACGGACGTGTGCCTGTGAACATTGAACAATCGACTAGATAGATTTGTGTACGTAATCTACGTCCACCTAGATATTAGCCGAAATCGTATCTCACATATATTTATCAGTATTATAAATAGGTAAGTCACGTGTGAGTGGAGGAGAAGTTGAGCCTCAGAGCTCGAGCTCCTAATTACTATGATGCGGCGCCATAAGCGGCGTAGGGGTGGGGGCGCGTCCATGTCCGACTCAGACGTTGAGGCCGGCCCTTCTCCTTTGCCTGCTTCTGTGCCTTTAAAACCTTCATCGCCGGTAGCCAACAATTCCAGTGACAGTAGCATAAACTGCATTCCTGAGACTCCTAACCCTTCATCTTTATTGAGTTGCCCACCAGCGCCAGGTGCCGAGCAGCCTACATCTAATAAAAAATCTGGTTACACTAAGAAAAGTAATTTTGAAGGTTTTGCATGTGATCAACTCTCTTTGACTTCTGACATGTCGGAAGACGAAATCCCACCAACCCCTACCCCTGTCTCTTATACACATCTAGATGTGTATAAGAGACAGGCCGTGGAGTGTTCTCTTCAACAGGTGCTAGGGAGAGTTCGAATTAGGCAGGCAGATTGAGTTAGGCAGGCAGATTGAGTTAGGCAGGATTTTAATGATTAATGATAAAGAGCCAATTAATTGAAGTAGTTAAAGTGATTGAAGTGATTAATTAAAGTGATTGAAGTGATTAATTAAAGTGATTAAAGTGATTAATTAAAGTGATTAACAATTATAACTCAAAACTCTGTCGTGGGGCCGCATTGGACTGGTCTTCAGAGGCCCCCGTAAACTTGAAAAAAAAAAAGAGTGCTCCAGGTGCAAAACCTGGTACTCCACACAAACCCTTGGAATTGACCACTGGTCAAACTCAAAAATAAAGCAATCATACATTGCCTGTAGAAAGTGCATACTGGCTCTTAGAGATGAAAACAGTATGCTTAAGAAAAGAGTCTCAGAGTTGGAAGAGATCATTAATAAAGCTAATCAGGCTGAGACAGCAAACCTGCCTGGCCTGGCCCTTCCACTACCACTAACTACTAAGGCTGAACTAAAAGCTGAAATAGAGGAAAGAGGAGGGCACTATCAATGAAGTTGGCACTACAGAGTATGCTAATAAAATTAAGACTAGTCAAAAGCCAAAACAGTCCAGCATCCCTAAAGTCTGTGGCACTGACATTATAGTGATTATACTGATTATAGTGACATAGATGGAATGGCTGCCTATAAACGAGAATCTCAGAATAGAATAGCTAAGCCTCCCATTGTCATGGTGGGGGACAGTATAATTGGATCCCTTAGGGGAAAAGTAAGTGTAAATGAAGCTGGGACTCTGGGAGTGATTCTTCTTCTTCTTTTCAAGGTGTCCACGTTGGGTGGACTGAAAGCCACAGGACAGCCACAACTTCACAAGGATGACCGTTGGGCCTGACTCCTGAGAGCTTATGTTATGTTGGACTTCTTGGTAAGGAAAGCTGGCCTCTTTGTCCTTGTTTGTACAAGGTCAATAGAGGTGATGGATGAGCTTGACAGCATGTAAGAGAGAATTTACACATGACATGGTTAAGTTACATGCACACAGAACACAGATGACTGTATGCAGTTGCTCAGAAAGTTGCACATGACATGATCATTGCTCCTCACTCCTCAGTCCTCAGAACTGAGCACTAGATTCAACTGTTAAGTTAGATAGATTTATATACATAGAATGACATAGATTATGCACGTACACAAACATATACAATATACATAGATTATAGATACACTTGTACATATATAAGCTTCATTTTGATATTTTGGCACCTATCTAAAGTTCACTGAGCCTCCCTGATTTCAAAATGAAAACAGTCAAAAATTGAAAGATTTTCCTTTGCACATCATCATTAAAGTTCCCTCCCCTCAAAAGTTCACACAGGGAGAATTGTACATTTTTACATCTTAAATTAGTTTCCAGGTCTACTCTGGGCTGCGCATGTCGCTGACAATGCAGCAGATAGTGCTCAATTGTGTCCACTGTGTTGCAGATAGTACATTGGTCAGAATCGCTCATGTTGAATCTGTGCAAGTGACTTCTGACGCCAGCATGTCCAATCCTGAGTCAGGCAGCAGCACACTCTAGTCTGCGTGACTTCAGGCAGAGCCAGGGTTGCAGCCTGGGTTCCTCCATGTTGTTGCTCAGAAAAGTTCCCTTCTGAGTGCAGGCGACAGAGGCCTTCCATATTCTGGTCCAGTGCTTGTGAAGTTTGCCTCTGAGGTCGGTGAGGGACTCTTGCAAGCTCAGTGTACTCAAGGCTGAGTGGGCATTGTTATGACCCATGTTGGCTGCTCTGTCTGCCACTTCATTGCCTCGGACCCCAGAGTGCCCTCGAACCCATTGCAGAATGATGGGGGCCTGCCTTTTATAGATGATATCTTGTATTTTGAAAACATACTCCTTGTACGAAGGGTTGATGGTATTGCTGACTGCCTGCAAAGCTGACTGAGAATCAGTCAACAGAAGGATGCTTTGCGTGCTGAGCCTTGGATCTAAACAGGAGAACCGCAGAGCCATGAGAATGGCGAAAAGCTCTGAGCCAAGGACAGTATGAGCTGGGTTCAGCCTCTAGGTAGTAGCACTTTGGATAATTTGGTATATACATAGCTGCTGCAGTGGAGCCATTAATGTGTTTTGACCCGTCTGTATAGACGTGAACATAAGAAGACAAATTTTCTAGGCAGTACTCATTGAAAATGCCTCTGCTGGCACCTGTAGGGGCTTCCCGGCTGCAGGTGCCTTGGGTGGATATCTTGATGTGCAGCTCCATGTTGAAATGTGGTGGAATAGGCGAAATGTTGGGAGTTGGAATTCTTCGGCTGGGAGTGAGATTGTATGCTTGAGTGGAGCAGATATTGTCAAAATAAGGAGGGAAGCAGAAAAAAATCTGAAAGCACAATTGGTGGGCCTCTTGTTTTGCAGGGTGGTGGCAATGGCCTAAGAGAGATTGGAGTGGATAAAACTGTTGAAGAGATCATAGTAAGCACAACCAGGGAGGCCATAAGAGCATTGTTTGTTATTGTTTGAAACTTTGAATGTTTGCTACCCATGGCCGTAGGCCTGGGCGTTCAGCATTTTACGTCGCGTGTGTTTTGTTTTTCGTCCGCTGTGTGTTTACGTGTGCTGAGCTGAAGTCAGTGTAGTGTATGGTATGCCGTTATGCCAATTGCCAAAGATGATAAATTTGGTAATGGTGCTTGGTGCAGAGTGCAGACGATCGATTTAATTTGTCAAACAACTGATACTATTCAACCAAACCGCAAACGCGAAACGCTAATATTACTGGAGGATGCAGGACGCAGGAGCATATGTTCAGATTCAGTCTTAAAATGCCTAGCAAATTACGGACCAGACAATAAGTCCTGCAGGCTGCAGCCATCTCAATCAGACGGTCAGACCCACAGGCTCACGGCAAGTGTGTGGTCACACTCATACAGATAGACTGCATTGGATGATTGGTCCATAGTGTGCTGGAGGCGCCTGGAGCTGGGGCAGCACCTAGTTTAGCAGAGCTCCGCCTCCGAGTCTGCTGCTCTGCTTTCTTTTTCTGACAGAGATCAGGCTGGTGGGCTGGGCGCTTTTGTTGCCACAAGTCTTAACCTCAATTATAAAAAAAATCAATCATCAATTCCAAAAGATCAGGTTCCAAAAGCCGGATCCCTTGTGAATCAAGTCACGAAAAATTCAAGAATTGGCAACACTACAGCCCCAACGGGCCAACAGGCCATGGGCCTATTTCTTCAGTGCCAATACTTCTATTCTATTGGAAAATTTGGATTCTTCGAATATTATGTTATCATCTGAGTTCGACTGTCTGACAGTCTCAGAGCATCAGTGAAGCAAAGAATTTTTTAGACTTTAGGTACCCAAAATTGGGTAACACTTAAAAGCTGAAGACGCCTAAGACGCTGAAGTCGCTAAGTGATTGAATAAGTGATTGATTGATTCACCTTATTTCATCACTCCACACTCTCTGGGGTCTGGGTTGAATATTTTCTGAGATATACCTAAGCGTTGAACTAGTTGAACCGGAGTCAAGTGCGGAGTGATGATTTACATTGAATAGGCTAGGTAAGTGATTGATTCACCTTATTT